GCTCAATCCTGGAATTAAATTCAACTTTGGGGGAAAGGGTAATCTTTTCTCACACAACTGAGTTTATAACCTAGGAAACAAATACACATGAGCCATAAATGACAATAACCTAAACTATAAATATGTTTTGTAAGAATATAATATCTGTACTTTGTGTTTCACTTTTAATGAAAATTTTAGGCACGAAAGCTGAGTAAATGGTATAATAAACTCCCATTCCAACAATTATCAAGATGCTGTCAGTTTTTCTCTTCTTCTATCCCCTCACTCGATACCCATTCACACCACCCCACACACACACTCTTTCTTTGTTTTGGAATATATTATAATGAATTTTGGCATCATATAATTTCATGCAAAAATTCATGTGTCTTTACTAGACAAGCAGATTTTTTTTAGCATTACCAAGATACCATTATCACACCTAATAAAATAAATAATTCCATATGTAATATTTAGTTTCTAATCAAATTTCCCTAGTCGTCTCACAAACATCTTTTTAAGGCTGGTTTGTTTGAACCATGATCCAAACAATGCCCATAGACTGTATTTAGATAATAGGTCTCAAGTCCCTTCTAACGTGGAACAGTTTACCTCTAAAGCCTGTGATTGTTTAATTTTTCATGCACATGTAATTGTGTCTGTGGATTCAGGCTGAGCATTAAATTCACAAGTCTACAAGCTGGGCTGAAACATGAGCAGAAGCTGTGTTCTAGCTCCAGGACAAAGAAGAATTCATCATAAAGGGATCTGGCTCCCTCTAGTGCTTTTTCAGATTATAACTGTTTCTGATTTTCAAACCAATTGAGAAACAATCCTGATATAAATATTTCCCACTGAATACCCTCTTAGCTGAGTGTTACTTACTTCACTTTACTCAACAATGAGTAGTTTTAATAATGAGAGATACTATTCACTGAATGCTAAGTGCAGAGTCAGACGCTAAATGGCTTATTTAGGGGAGTGAGCTAGGGGTGTTTGGGGTGCTGGGAATTGAACCCAGGGTTTCATGCAAGTCAGGCAAGCTCTTTGCCATGACCCTGCGACCTCAGCCTCAGAAGCTAAATGTTTATTTCCTCACCCAATTCGTCATTCTGTCATGGAGATTTCATATTTTATCACTCAAAGTAACATAATCAGCATTTATGCCAGTGTTTCCAAGATATCCCTAGCACCTTTATTTCAAACTGATACTATTTCATTTTTTCCATTATTATATTTGAATTACAATTAGAGAAGTAAACATGGGTTTCTCTAAAAGCAGTAAAGTACCCTATGACCACTTTTGTCATGGCATAGAATGACTGAAAAAAGAACGGAAGAAACAAGATGGAAGAAAAACACACAGAGTTTACAATAATCCTTAAAACCAGGTCATACCACCGATGGCAAGAGGAGGGAAGTGTAGAAAATATCAGAAATAACTGACATACACTAAATCAATATATTTTTAAATGGTAATTTATTATACAAAGTGTTGTAACTGATATTTAAGAAGAGAAAAAGCAAAAGCAAGAAAAGATACATCTAATCAAGGAAGCCTGGGTGACCTTGAATAAGTTCCATATCTCTGAGTATAGGAAAACGAAGGCATATTCTGCTACAATGTTAAATTTTAAACACAATTTTGTATTTGTATTTTTTTAAATTATAGTTACTTTTCCACAAGCCACTAAAAAAAAAAAAGGGTTACATTCCTGAAAAAAAATAAAGCTGAATTGATGTCAAAAGAGACACAGGGTATAAATTGAGCTTCATCTCTTAAAAACAGATGAGTGCACCCAAAACCCCTTTTATAGCAATTCTCAGGGTAGCAATAATATAACTCTTCAAGACTGGTCTCCTGCACATGTAATAAATCTTTTCAACTCTTTGTCAAATTTAGGAGAACACTGCCACCTTTGAATTTTTCCACCAAAAGCTAAGATTGAACAACAAAATCCAATACAGTTTTGATTAAACATGAATTCAATCTCCCGCCAGAGCAGCCTGACTTGACCGTGGGCAGGGTTGATTTACTCTTTGCTCCCCTGATGTTTTATTCTAGAAGGGACGTAAGCAGGGCCCACAGACAACTGTTTTCAGTGTCTGCATCACCTTCTATCGGGGTGACCTTGGCTACAACTAGACAGCTCAGATCTTGAGAAATGTACCAGTGTCAGATTGTTCTTAATTTTTGTGATTATATATTGAGGGAATGAGAGCAAGAAAGTAAGTATTCCCACCACAAATTATTCTGAGGCCATATCTGGCCCAAAAGAGAGACCATGTAGTTGAGTTGAGATGGGCAAAGGTGAGTTACACCACAGCCTCTCTGGATTTTCCTCCCGCATTGTGCCAAACTCCACCACCCCTCCCTAACTAATAGAAGAGACGAAAGGACAGAGCCCCCTTGTCAAGGGAGTATATATAAGTACAAGTCTGCTGGAGAACAGTAATAGGAGCAGGGATAGCCATTTGGGAATGAGGAATGTCAGTTCCTTCTACAAGTCCTTACAGGACAACTGCTAACATCCTCCCTGATGTTATAGGCCCATCTTAGGGAAACGACTGTATGTACAGTTGATCATTGGCATTATGCCCCATAAACACTGAAGGAAAATACAGAATTAGCAAATACTGAGCCATCCTACTTCCTAGCAGATAATATAGTGTTAAGTTCCTACATGCCCCTGGCCCCATTTTTTGGAAATTGGTCAATACATCGCCATATTTTGTGTCTCTCTATTTAAAAACATCTTATTTAATGTGTATTGTTGCCCATCCAGGAACCCTTACTTCAGGTTCCTGCAACCTGGCCCTGTCCAACACAGTTCCCAGGATGTCAAAGTTGAAATATAAAGGGAGAATCCTTTGCAGAAATGTCTCTCTGAGGGTGAGAAGATCTGAAAAAGGCCAGGTCCCATTGACAGCAGAAAAGCCTCCCCAAAGCTTGAACAGAACACTTGGGCAAAAAGAAATACTCGATGCCTTCGGATTTCTTTTTGGACCTGGAGTGAATTCAGATTCAAGCTGAGGATGTCTGGTTTCTCCTTGTCAACCATGTCATTCCACCCACCAGTGCCACTGTGGGTCAGCTATACCAGAAACAGCACACACTGCACTGCCTATAGTGACAAAAATATGCATGCCTGTGACTCTGCTGCCCCTGAGGGAGGCAGGAGGGCCCATTCTACAAGGAGAGCAGCGGCCCCCTTCCTGGACCTCCTCTTTCCTCAGGCTCCAATGCCACCTGCCTTCTACAGGCCTGCACTTCAATGTGGGAGACCTTCTCTCCAGTTGCTCTTAGCTAGAGGGTAATGGAGATAGCCTCTTGGAGCTCTCCCTCTTTCTTCTCCTTTCTCTGCCCTCCTTTCCCACTCCACTTTAGACTTTTTGATTGTCAATCTCTGTCACATGATTGTTTTTGATTTCTGTTCTCTTTCTAATTGCTCAAAGGGCTCAGGACCTTACTTTCTCTACTCTCTCTGAGTGGGGTGGGGAGGTAGAAGTGACTGACATTGTGGGAAGAAGGCAGGAAGCACGTCAATAAAGGGAAAACCACATTATGTCTTTAGTTGATCATAACAATGAATTCACGGTCTGCAGCCCTAATTCATGCCTGATGGAAGCTTAACTAATACAAGTGTTTTCTCTGTAAGGTACTCCACAGTCTGGTCCAAAGCATCCTTGGGACAAAACTCCATATAGAGCCATAACAGTGATTCCTTCAAAGTAACTAGAGAGGAGTCAAGAGTTCCCTTAATATAATAAAGCCAAACAAAACTCCAGCTCTCTCCAGGGATCAAAGGGTGGACTCATCTATTGTCTTCAGGCTGGCTAGAAAATTCCTATCTTGCCCCAGCATCAGAACAGAATTCTGATATTCTCACCCAAAAGATATTGTGAAACAACGAACCCTGCATCGGTCATACATCTGTCCATTTGAGGAGCCCTTCTGGGAGACATTTGAGGAGCCCATTCTCTCATATGAAAGGTGTTTTGCAATATCTAGCATGGCCTTCCTTGCCATGTGCTTCCTGTTACAGAAAAGGGCACATGGTCTTATTATATTGATTGGTAACTACATCATACTTTCTACTATGACTGACAGGAATGGGGGGAATTGCTACTATTTGCCACAAAGAGCCAAGCCCTAACCTGAAGACTTCATCTTATTACAAAATTATATGACATCATAGTTATTATCCCCAATACATAGATGTGGAAACTGAACGCCCAAAGTCACAGTAAGTAGTGTTGCTAACAGTCAATCTCAGACTTATCAAGCTACAAAACCCTGTTCTCGGTTGTTACACAGTAATACCACCACACAGACATCATCCTGACACACAGGACTGCCAATAAGGAAGCCATGCTTACTAACTCAGGGAACAATCAAAAGAAACTATTCTTACCTGAAAATAGACATTAAGTAAAGACAGAAAAGGTTGAATACTTTCAGAAAATACATGCTGAAAATGGAAAAGAACAGGAATATAAGATTAAATGTTGCAATGAAATTTCAAGGTAGGATGATTAACACCAGTGAATCAGTTTAATCCTCCCAAATACCACTGATCATTTCAGAGCCAAGATAGGAAGACCAGTTAGAAGGACACTGCAATAACCCAAGCATGAGCTAATAAGAGTCATAGAGATTGGAAAAGAAGAAACAAATACAAGGGGTGGTCTGGAGATAAAATTCAAAATACCTGCTATGTAGAGATGAGGGAAGGAAAATATATAGGTTTCACTCTAAGAGTCAGCCTCTATAAAAGGAAGAAGGATAAGAAATTTTAACCAACTTTATAGACAATCCATAAATATCCGTCTTCATCAGAAGGAAGTTGCTCCTCCTGACCTTCGTATGCATCCCTTGGAAATGCTGAGCTCCTTTATTCCTCTCATGAAATCACCTATTATTTATTTCAGGCATGCCGGGGTCCTGCCCTAGCGGGGTCCAGGGAGTCCTGAAGGATGAGTGGCGTCGGCGAAAAGATGAGACAGGAGTCGTTCCGTTGGAGCAATCTCCAGAGAGAGAGCTAATGCAGCTTTCTCTGGGTCATCTTTTATTACAATTTTTCTCATCATTATAGATTCAGAATACGTCATTGATTATATAATTTAAAACTTTGCCAAGACATGACATTTCCTTAACCATGATTGGGGGTACAAAAAATGTAACATTAATTTACATTTTTCCAGGATATGTCCTTCAGTTATATAATTATTAAAACTACAGAATCATTAATAAAATACGTCACTAATTTACATTTTTCAGATTTTCCAAAGATTTACTATTTTTCCCAAGATATGCTATTTTCTTATTAACTAATGCCAAACTACGTAACCAGACTCTAAGTCTCCTAACCAATCATTAACCTAAAGTACACGTGTACTTTATTTCTAATCTAAAATTCCCATCTAAAAAAGTCCCTTTAAATCTTATATTTAAAATATCCTGAAGTTTATTAATCATTCTTAAAACATATCAGAAACCTATACAACTAAAAACTTAAGAATTTCTAAACTTAAGAATCTAAATAAAATAATATTTCTAACATTATTCTAAAACTGTGTCTTATAAAGCTGTTTTAATTAATTCCTAAATTTATTCTCATAAAACTGGTTGGTTGAGCTACTTTCTCAAAGAGTTTCTTTGTTTCTCAGTCAAGGTGCACTAGTTCTCATATCTTTATAATCTTTCTCAATAGAAAGTAAGTTCTAAAAATCAATCCACTTTCCACCAATATTAACTATGCTCATCATATATCCCTATGTAAAGTAAGAAAGGGTTTATAAAAAGAGAAAAATATATCTTTATATGTTTTAACTTTCCTAAGTGTATAATATAACTTTCCTTAATCAAAAATGAAACTGCATGTGGTGAACTTTGTGAAATAAGCATACTGATTAGGTTTTCTAAGAGACCGGAAATATGGGCTTGGGTTCTAGTTGATATAATCAATGTGGTGCCTAAAATTCTCATGACCTTTCAAAGGATGATTGTTGTCCGTTATCAGGTTTGTCCACAATGTACTGAGATAGAAGAACAGCCTTCTACTTTGTCCTTGATATGCTGAGGGGTAGTAGAACAGCCTCCAAGGCATGAACTACCTGTTATGTTCTAGCCATCTGAAATTTAATTTGTTTGGCATTTAACATACTCATGCCTCCTGTCAGAAACATAAGCATGAAAATGAAAAGTCCCAATTACATAAAAAAGGGTCTCGTGGTTTCGGTTTCCCACCAACCATTGTGGCTTTGCCAGCATTCATCCTCACTGTGACCCTGTCAAGACAGTGAGTGGGGGATCGCCTTCACCACAGGCAGCTTTCTCCAAAAAAGGGGGGAGAGGGGACATATTATATAATGCTCTATATTCCTCCTCCCATCCACCTCTAGAATTCCCTATTCTTTAAGTCAACACTTTTATAGCACTGAATCGGTAAAATACTTACTAGGCTAATTTCCTCCAATATTAAATCTCATTTAAAAACATCAAAAGGATGTGTATTCCACCCCTCTTGCTTTTGTCAGCATTATTTGAAATGTGTTAACTAGAGGACAGTCTCAACAGACTTACACCTACTATACACTATTTTCTTTTTCTTTTTCTTTTTTTTTTCTTGGTTCTTCTTAGTTATACATGACAGTAGGATCCATTCTAATTCTCACACAGTATTTTCTACTAGTAAAATGTTTTAAGTACCATGCATTAATGGGTAGAGTCCTTATCAACCTTAAGAATTCCTGAGTGACCTCTTAATAGCTGAAAATAACCAGATACCAGAGTTGACAGACCCAGAGATTCTCCATAATTATCAAATATCTTTTTGTTTCCCTGTGCAATCTAGTCAAGAGATAGACAAAGTGGAGAGAAGCACCCCAGGCACGTCCAGGAAAGACACCTTGTGCCTTTCTACCAGCAGCAATTACTGACCAACCTGCTTGACAAGACTATAAGGGAGGCATATTAAACTTGAGTTTGTCTTTCTAGAGAGAATTTCCTACATTGGAGAAAACAGTACTAGAAAAAATGTAAACCCATCCTAAAAAGGGAAAAGAAATTAATATTAACACTATTATGATGATGATAAGTTAGACTATATAGCACAAAAGAGACAGAAAATACTTGGACCCAATAAACACCCATTTATTAAATGCTTATTAAGTGCCAACCCCTGTGTTAAGTTCTATAGATATTAAAAAAAGTAATTCATATATTTCACAAGTATTAGCATATATTCACAAGTAGGAATGCCTACTATATGCCAGCTGCTCTGTTATAAACTGGGGATGAACAAAAGAGAAAAAGAAGTGTCTGCCCTAAAGGATAAGGTTGATATAGGAGTATACATCAGAAACCCACACCCAAAATCATCTTTTTTTTAAAAGTCAGGTTTATTCATTTCCTAGGGCTGCCATACAAATTACTACAAACTGGTGGCTTAAAGCAACAGAAATATATTCTCTCACAGTTCTGAAAGCTAGAATTATAAAATCAATGTCAGCAGGGCCACTCTGTTTGTGAAGGCTCCAGAGAAACCTTCCCTTGCCTCCTGCCACTCCTGGTGGCTCCCGGCAACCCTTGCAGATCCTTGGCTATTGTTGTATCACTCCACTCTCTGCCTCTAACTTGGTCTGTTCAGGCTGCTATAACAAAATACTAGACTAGGTTGCTTATAAACAACGGAAATTTATTGCTCACACTTCCGAAGGCTAGAAATCCAAGATCAAATAACTAGTAGGTTTGCTCTCTGGTAAGGGCTTGCACATGGTGATCCCAGTGAGCCTGCATTGAATCCAAGATTATTTTCATGCAGTTCGCCTTGCCAGGTTTTCAACTTGCTTGAGACCCATAACCTCTTTCTTCTTTCCTGTTTCTCCCTTTAGAACAGGATTATCTGTCTTATCCCCTTCCCAACATTATAGTTTGGAAGCCCAAAAACTTGTTAGCTTCATACATGGGCAAGATTTTTGCACAGATTGAATTGCACCCAAGTCTCACCAGTATCTGATTCAGGTGATATTTTAGATGAAACTTTGGATATTAGACTATTAGAGCTGATGCCAGAATCAGTTCATGTCTGGGGCTGTTGGGATAGAATAAAGGTATTTGGCACTTAACAATGACATGAATTTTGGAGGGCCAGGGATAGAATGCTATGAACTAAATGTTTGTGTACCCCCAAAATTCATCTGTGGAAACTCTAATCCCTGATGTGATGATAATTGGAGGTGGGGCCTTCAGGAGGTAATTAAGGCATGAAAGTATAGCATGATGGAGAAGAGCCCCTCTAAGAGAGATGTTTCCTCTCTTCAGGAATGGAGTTCTCCTCAGGATCCAACCATGCCTTCCCTGCTCTCAGATTCCAGTCCCTCAGTCTCTAAAACTGTAAGAAATAAGCATCTATTGTTTAAGTCACCCGGAAATTTTCGTTATAGCTGTCTGAACTGGCTGAATAGCTCTTTTTACTCTGTTGATTGTGTCCTTTGATGCACAAAAATGTTTTTAAATTTGATGTAGTGCCATCTGTCAGTTTTTTGCTTTTGTTACCTACACTTTTGGTGTCAGAAATACACTATTTAAGGAGACGGAAATTATTTACACATTTAGAATTTAGATGACGAAGGAAAATGAAGGGACATTTTTCTTATTCTTTTTCTACTGACACAATAGTTTGAACGATTATAATCACGTTGTTTAGTTTGAGATGAGCAACTAGGAAGATCTATGCAGTGGCCCAGATACTTAAAATCAATTTAATCTGAAGTTAAATTTAAGGAAGTTAAAGACTTTGAAATAAATCATTGTGGCTTTTTCTTTTTTTTATTTTATAATTATATCATCAAAGTAGTAGCATTTGAATAAGATCACAGATGTTAAGAATACAGACGTAGACTTAACAATTGTTCAGCTTTCAATTTTTAATTTTTCTACAAATTTTTACTTTACATTGGCATAAAACTGATATGCATTCAGTAAAACTATATTTTGAATTTTGAATTTTGATTTACTAACAATATTCAGTGCCATATTTTCGAGTGATACTGGGCAGCCGTGGTGAGTCACAGCTCCCAGTTGGCCATGTGATCACGAAGGCAAATCTTCGGTGTGCTGTGTTTCTACACAGGATGTTCAGTGAGTTCCATGTATTAAACACATTTTAGACTTACAATATTTTCAACTTATATAGCTTATCTGGGTATAATCCCATCTAAGAAAACGAGCATGTAAATAGCAATTGTAGATTTCATTCAAAATTCCTAACTTAACAGGAGAACTAACATTTTATAAAAGCACATAAGCCAAATAAGTAATAGCAGAACTGCCTCACCTATCCAGCAAACTTATAAAAATGGAATTCAGAAATATATATAGTAATATATAATATATATGATATATATATATGTGATATATATATATATATATATATATATATACATAATGCCTCCATTAAAAATACTTTCCAAGTAGTTTCCCAAGTTTTTTGATATCATTCTAATTCTATGAGTAAATACAGACTTGGTAACTATTAACAAATTGCCAACAGGCATAATGATCATCCAAACTCCCATGTGTTAAGGCTACTTCTTTTCTAATAATTTGGATTTCCAGAGAATATGAGATTTCTTGGAAGTTTAGTTTTTCCAAAGTTTTATTTAGATATTATCTTTGTAATCAGATAGACTAGGTCCCCATTCCTAGGTTTCCAGTCTCATTCCTTGTTAGCTGAATAAATTCACAAGAGTTTTAATTTCCCCAAATCCTAGTTTCTTCCCCTACAACATAAGGATAGTAATGCTCACAAAGAAAGATGGTGACCAAAGGTGAAATGTGAGCTAGATAGAGTGGTACATGGACGGTATAGTCACTACTCGGTAAGGGAAGGGCACTATTAACATCTATGACTGAGATTTTATTAACTAACCTTTTGCCCTATTAATTTCATGACCTCTTTTTTAAATAGGTAAGTGTCAGGAGAAGAACCTATAATGTCAATGTGTGTCTTATGAAAATTAATCAGAACCCTAAGGTATCTTGATTGTAGTTGTTCACATGCCCGTTCAATATTTCTCTTCTCTCTATTTCCCTTTCCTTCCAAAATGAATGTCTCTTTCCTAAGCTCAGAGTGAAGACCCTGAGCCCATTCCTCAATGAGCTCCTTTACATGCTGTGCACTGTTTGGCCCAGAATCACCTTGAGCACTCGCTAGACAAATAGTGGTGACGTCACCATCCACCCTCTCCTGACTTAGAATATTAAATTTGTTCAGTGTGATTTCATAAAACCCACACTTCCATTTCAGGTAAAGGAAAACATCTGTGTCCATCACAAGCATTTCTGAGCTTCTAACAGTTTCAGGTACTAAGGGCCTGAGCGTCTCCACCAAGTTATCACTGCTCTGACTCTTTTGGGGGCTTTGTCTGTTCTGTTTTCTCCCTTCAGTCATAACATTCCTGTTTTTTTCTAAAAGAGAACTTGCTTTTGATAGCAAAGACTCTTTGAGCTTCTTGATAGCCAGAAAGGGTCCTTCCACAGAGATTCTTCCTCCAGGTCCCAAGGGACTGAAGTTTAAAGTTGGGATTTTCTTTTTCAGGTCTATTACCAGGCTTTCCAGGATAATTTGACCACGAAAAACAGAAAGATCAAGGGTAGCTTTCACAGAGCTGAAGACCTAAAATTAAAAAGAAAAATTAAAATAGCACTGCCTACTGAGGCAAAGAAACATAAACAAATTCATTTTTTTTACCAACTTCTTATCATGCAGTCACTTTAAATCAGACTCTAATGGCCAAACCCAGACTTCCTGGCTTCTCACACCCAGGCAGCCCATCCGTGGTACCCAGGCTGTTCAGTTTGAGATTCAGAGTCCCTTGTTACATACCCTAAAACAGAGGCAGTCACATCATTTTTAGAGGCAAATTGCTCTTTTGAAACAAAGTCTCAATCAATGGATGTGTAACTGATGTGATTCTGCAATCTGTATACGGGGTAAAAATGGGAGTTCATAACCCACTTGAATCAAAGTGTGAAATATGATATATCAAGAACTATGTAATGTTTTGAACAACCAACAATAAAAATTAAAAAAAAAAAGAAACAAAGTCTCACGCAGAACACATAGGTATAAACTGTTCTAGTTCCGCTCCATAAGTCCCTCTAGAGTCATCCCCACCCTTCCCTTCCAGTTTGAAGTTCATCACATGGTTACAGAGAATGCCAGGTTTCTTGCAGAATATGGTTTATAAACCAACACTTCAAATTTTTCACTTCTCTTATTTCTACCCTTCCTGCCCTTTCAAAACTCCCTTTTAGTGTGCATCTTAATTTTTTCTCCAAAATAAATCTCTAGGTAGGTACCTGATGTTATCTATAATAACCCAAAAGCTCACTGTCACTTTAAAAGCATTAAGTAGGACACAGAGAAATATAAAGGCAAAAACTTCAAGAAGCAGGTTTGGTCTTTTGTACTGACATGACTCAGGTTAGAGAGCTGAATCCATGAGGTGAGAGAGCACTGTGTGTTTCTTTACACAGGAAAGACTTCACAGGACAAACGGGACCCAGAACTCCCAGCACACCCTCAGCTCACGCCTTACCTTTTCACTAAAGTGAGAGACTGTGAGTTCAGCATGTACCGTCTTCTGAATTGCTAGATGGTGTTTCTTTTGTCTGACAACATTCTCTGCAACTAAGTGGAAACATTAGCATCAAAAGTGTTTGTGGCATAACACTAATAATTACTTTAACTCCTAAAAATAGAGAAATTTGATTCTTTTCTTTAGAAAGTCTGAATTTTTCCTATATTTTTCCTCTAAATCCAACATTTAAATAACTTTTTCCTTTCATTTTAACATATTAAAGTTAATTTCATGTATTAATATGTTCTTAATCATATTTCTTTTATTTTTTTAAAGAGAGAGAGAGAATTTTTTAATTTTTTTTTTTTTTAAGTTTTCAGCAGACACAACATCTTTGTTTGTATGTGGTGCTGAGGATCGAATCTGGGCCGCATGCATGCCAGACGAGTATGCTACCGCTTGAGCCACATCCCCAGCCCATCATATTTCTTTTAAAACACACATAGGCCAGGCACAGCAATTCAGGAGGCTGAGGAAGTTTGAGGCCAACCTCAGCAACTTAGCAAAGCCCTAAGCAACTTAGCAAGACCCTGTCTCAAAATAAAAAATAAAAAGGGATGGAGAAGTAGCTCAGTGGTAAAGCAGGGTTAAATTCCCTGGGTTAAATTCCCAATTAACCCCTGGGTTAAATTCCCAATGCCAAAACACACACACACACACACACACACACACACACAAGCACAGTACATACATGAATAGAGAACAGAAACCCAAGAGTAAATCCCCCACTCTACTAATACTGGTCACATAAACTCTCATGTCTGTGAATCCAGGGTTCCACACTGTCCTGGTTTTCCTCCTAATTCACTGGCTCCTTTGCTAATTCTCCATATTTTCCCACTCATTAGATGTTAGAAAGCCCCAGACCTCAGTCCTCAAACTTCTTTACTAACCTATGTCTACCTCCCAGTCAATTCAACACTTCCCACAGCTTTAGACACCAACCTTATATGCATTGCTTCCAAAATTTTATCTCTGCTCCATTATCTTAATAAGTGCTTCAATGACCCAAAATCAAATTGATAATTATCCCCCTCCTGAACATACTCCATTCAAGCTTCCCAACTCAAAAATTCACAAATATCCACGAGTGCCCATCAGCTGCCCTACTGCACCTTTCCAAAGCAGCAAAGACTGTTCCTCACACAGCGACCAGTATGACCATTGAGAAAAGGCAGTCCTGTTTTGTCAATCCTCTGCTCAGAATTGGATCCTCTACAAGAATAAAATCCAGACATCCTGCCTTGACCCATAGCTACTTAGCAAAAACTGGCCCCAGCTCCCAGTCTAACCACATCTATTGTACACACACACACACACACACACACACACACACAGCCCAATCTCATAAAACTCCAGCCACACAGGCCTCCTTGGTATTCCTCTAAACAACCAGCATGTTTCCCCTGTGGAATTTCTACCTGTCCTTCACCTAGTCTGAAATGTTTTTTTTTTCCATTTATCTGCATGATTCATTTTCTTACTTCATTCAGGTCCCTGCTCAAATGTCACCTAAACATATGACATCAGGGCTGTGGATATAGATCAGCAGTAGAGCACTTACCTCTAGCATGTACAAGGCCTTGGGTTTGATTCCCAGCACCACCAAATTATATATTCTTTTTAAAAGTGTTTTCCTAGCCACTCTATTTAAATAGCACCATCCATCATGTTTTCTTTCTCTTCTCCCGTATACTTTTTCATAGCAAGTTAGTGTCCTCTGCAGATCCAACTGTAACTATCCCCTATGTCAGGGATGGGGCGAGGGAACAGGATGGCTCCATTTTATCTCAGATCCAAACTGTATTTCTCAATTCAATTTGGTAAGTAATAAAGCAAATACTATGTTAGAATATCCATATGATAGTTTGAACACAGAACAGCAAAGGGTATAATTGTATTGTATTGAAGCCACCTTAAAGTCCCAAAGTAGTTATCTTGTTTATAGAATTATATATCATTTACGCAGGGGGATTTTCTACATTTTTCTGCATTTTGCAAGTTTTCTATAAAACTTTTATCCTAAGATACTTTAAAGTATAGGAAAAGAAGAAGTTTACAAAAATTTGCCAGTTACTAACAGTTTTCAAAATTTACCAGTTACTTTTTATCATGAGTCATTTTCATACATTTCTGCTCATACAATGTTGGCCAGTTTTATGTTCAGAATAGAATAATTTAAAGCTACTTCAAATCTTATTTATCCATGAATCATTTCAACAAAATCTAATTTTAATTTCACTGAGTAAGTATTTCTCAAATTATAAAACTTTGATTTGAAAATACCTTTCTTTTCTTTGAATATTACATATGCAACTCCTTTGGTTCTTGTTGGATATATCACATCTTCAATATCTCCACCCTCATTTTTAATGTCTCGGAAGTAAGTCTCCACTAATGTAGTCAGCAACTGATCACTCAAAAGGCCAACAGGAAGACCAGCAACGACAATGGTTCTTTCAAGAGCTCTGGATTTCTTGACATTCGAAACTGATGCCTGTAACAGAAAAAGTAGAATACTATTTAAAAATACAAGCTCTACTTAATGAAAAGTGGGGTCACATAAAGTTAAAAAAAAAAGTGGGAGGAAGGAGGGAAGGCAAAGGAAAGAACTGGTGCATAGAGTTGACCAAATTATGCCATGTGCATGCATGATTGTATCACAATGCGTTCCAACTTATATATAATGGTAATGCATCAAATAAAAAATAAATACATACAAGGAAGACCAATAGAGTAGAAGAAGAAGATGATAGTACTGGGGATTGAGATGGAGAAAACTATGCTCTAAGCACTTATGAATATGTCAAAAGGAGCCCCACTATTATGCATGACTACAATGCACTAAAAATTTTTAGCCAGCCCACACCTGTAATCCCAGCGACTTGGGAGGTTAAGGCAGGAGCATTGTGAGTTTAAAGCCAGCCTCATCAACATAGTGAGGGCCTGAGCAACATAGCGAGACCCTGTCCCAAAATAAAACAGGAAAAGGGCTGAGGATGTGGCTTAGTGGTAAAGCACCCCTGGGTTCAATCCCTGGTACAAGGGGCAAAAAAAAAAAAAAAGGTTTTAAAAAATAAAAAGAATTTTTAAAAAGCCAAAAGGAAGACCAGCGACTACAATAGTTCTTTCAGAAGATTTGTATTTCTTGAAAGTCAAAACTAATGCTTATAAGAGAAACAGTTATATTATGAATATATTTTAAAATATACTTAATGAAAGTACCATCACATAAAATAGAAGACAATATCTTACTCAATAAAGGCAACAGTGTAACTAGTAGATACTTTTTAAAAAGGGAATAGATCTTTGCTTTATACCATCTACTAACATAAATTATAGCCAAATTTGAAAGTTAAATGTAAAAATGATCCCTTTATTTTTTTTAATAAGTGGAAATGTTGATTAATTGTTCATTTTAGGAAAGCCTAAAAATAATTTAAAAAGGAAATATAAATTTCAAAAATTAAAATGTAAAATAAGATAATCAAATAGTCACAAAATACAGTAATGTGGAAGTGACTATTTTTTATGGATTGTAGATTCCCAAGTCAATAAGCTAGTAAAAAATACATCCCTTTTATTATCAGAATCAGGGGGAAATTACCATTAAAAAAACAAAACCCCAGGAGTAACATGGATACTGTGGTGGAGTAAATCCCACCTTGCAGACGTATCTGAAATTAAATCCAGCCTTAGAAAGAGTGCATGCTATTGTAGCCACCGGGCTGGGCACAGAGTACCAACTGTGCTGGGTTCACTCTCTTTGAACTTCTTGAATTATCCACATAATGCCTTCATTTGCTCCCCAATCCCATTTAGGGAAGTGGATTTGTGAACTTCTCCCAATGCTTACACAGTTAGTCCAGCCTGTGCAACAAAAGAATTACCTGAGGGTGGACAGGATGGCCCAAGGGCCTGAACCATGGTGAATAGACCACTCAGGAGCTCAGGACTCTCAGTCCACAGGACTCTGTACTTAGAATCCGATTCCACAGGGATTGGCAAACTACTTCTGGCCTCCCCAGAGGTAAGAAAAGAGCTTAAGCACACAAACAGTGTCCTGTCCATCCCAAGAACTCCTTAAGATGAAAATAAAAGAATAAACTCAGTTACAATGAAGCAATCAGTGTCGGAGATTTCAATAAATTTCTGAAAGACTGAAAAAACACAAAAGTATATGGAAGACTATGACAGAGAGCAGCAGCTAACCTGGAATAAGCAAATGGATGTTGCAGGGACAATGATGACAACAGGCACAGCAGAATCACAGAAATGATAAACAAACAAGATGTTGTTGAAAGGCTATTGGTTAAAAAAAACTGCTCCAGTGTCTCCCATGTTACCAGCTCCTAACCTTTCTACACAGAACATACTCTGACAAAGGCAGCTGGTGCAGAACATGGTGGGAAATAGAATTATTTTACTGAAGAAGAAGGAAAAGAGTAAGAGCAAGGGGAAGAGGGGGTCAAAAGGGGAATAGGAGGGAGAGGGGGATGGGAAGCGGGGAACTAAATGAACACTCTAGAGAAAACTTGACCAGCCAGTGTGGACAAGTCCTCCTCCTGTTTCTGGCATTTAAAGAAGCCCCAGCCTAACGATCATAAACAAACTACAGTGTGGCATGATTTTGAGTAAATTATAGCAAACAAAAAGAAAAAGGGAAATCCATTTCACCCAGCCACTAGAAACATTTTCCTGTACATAGAAAAGGAAAAATACACATGATATTAGACCAAAAAGAGAAAAAGTAATCACAGCATGCAATGAAGCCCCACTATAAACAGCATTTACTATTTACAATGCAGTATTATTGGTTTTTAACTTTTCAACTGAACTTGCTGTCTTCAAAATATCAAAGACTTAAATAATGGTTACAGAATAAAATGAAAATACACAACTCTGTCAATAAAGAGGTAACAGCAGTTGAGAAAAAATATAGAAAAATCTCCCACACTGAAGAGAATCATGTAATAGTACCCCCATTTTAAGTCCTTTACAGAAGTTACAAAAATAATCCATAGAAGAAGTAAAAGAAGAATAAAAAATAATATTACATTACTTTCAAACTTAAAAGGCAAAGAAAGAAGTCAGAAGTTACCTGAGTGAGATCCTTATTTATCATAGTAGGATTTGACAGAAAATGATTAAGTCAATGTTGACTGCCCCAGCATATGCACTCAGGGCATCTCTGGTATTCAGCTGGCAGCTCGTGAAATAAAGTAGCAAAATGTGCCTGTCTGATGAAGTGAATTTTAGTTCACTTTAAATCAGGTGCATCTGAATGCACCTGAATTTTTTAGAATATTTTGTCAATTAGTTAATCAGTTAGCAAATACTGTATTATTAAATATGTGTTCCATGCCAGGCAATATGCTAGGTTTCAGAAATAATGATACATACAAAGAAATAAAATTTGCCCCTTGCCCTGAAATTCAGTTCCCCCACAAAAATGTAAATCGTTATGTGTGGGGCACTTAGATAGGCTTTAGGATTAAGACTATAAAAAAGGGTGGAGGTCGGTCGGGAGGGTCTATACATGAAAGAGGAGGCAGACACATAAATAAATCTTTTCAAAAGAGCTTGGTATTCATGAAAGAAGTAGATCTATTGCTTTAAGGAGGAAGGAGTCCAACACACTATTTTAGAAGGACACAGACCATTCACAATAAAATCCTAAAATTACAATAAATGCCATCCAAAATTAGAAAGCAAGATTAATTAATTCTGGCTAACGGAGTCTGAAAAAGGCTCCACAAAAGAGAGGTCTTTAAGGCTGAGGTCAAATTTGAATTGATGAGACAAAGATACCAAGAAAAAGCTGGGCAAGGCGGGAGGCATGAAACTGGCTCATGTTGATACATATATAGAACAAAGGGAATGTCTCCAGAAAATAAAATGAGAAAAACTCTTATTGGCTATTTGTTTTAGGAGATACTTTTATGGATGAAAATCATTTATCTAGATTGTACAATGAAACAGCAAAAATATACCAGATGGTAAGTGTGCCTATAGGCAACCTATTCCCAAGTGGTACAATGCAATTTCCCCAAGACAATTCTCCCTTACAAGAGAGGGGTAAAAAAAAAATGACTGAAAAGATTTTTTTAGATTTTTCAGAAAACCCTATTTCTTGAGATTTGTAATGATATGACATCCTGCTCTAACAACCCCCACCAGCCTCAGTGTGTCAGTGGATAGAGAATTAATTTCTTTTTTGCTCTGCATCAATGTCAAAGAAAATTTATCAATCACTTTAAATTCAAAAAATCACTCTACCTCTATGCCCTCATCAATACTAATACCATATTTCTTCCTCCAAATGTCTGTACATAATTTAATCAAAGGAACTTTCTGAGCTAGTATTTTTAGGAGAGAAAACAAAAGACTTTTGTTTTCTAACAATTTAAGAATTTTTATAAATTATCTTGTGATTTATTTCAATGACCTGCCAGGATTCTTCCTTAACTTTCTTTCATATGTCTGAGAAAGTATTGCTAACATATATATAATTCTGCTGAGGACAGTTATGAACAATGAGAATAACTAATCTCTTCTATCCACGATTAGGGAGAAAAAAGAAATAACCTGGAGAAAGAAATTCCTTTCAAGGATTTTGAAACAAGAACAGCATTGAAGTCAAGCGATATTAAGGTGATAGCACTTTTTCCCGTATCATAGTTATCTTTTAAGAAACTTTTGGGCGTCAGGATCCAAAAAGGTATAAAGAAAACTATTTTTTTTAAGTAAGGGACTAGGAAATAATTGGAAGATTCATTCGCTGCGTTTACTTAGATTTCTTTTCTCAAAATCAGTTATTTATTTTCAATGACTATACCTTTACTCTCACCAGGTAAACAAAAGCACATTTGCATCTCACAATTGCTTTTACATTACCAGGACTCGGGGATTTCAGATCAGAAAGTAAAGGCTCTGCCACAGTTTCAAACGCTTGATAGAGGAACACACACACACACACACACACACACACACACACACGTACGCGCGCGCAGCTCAGTCTTGAATTTGCTGTCTGTTGTTCCTAGCCAGCACAGATGGTGAAAACACTGAGCCCTTTGTGTCTCTGGATAAAGAACTAAGACCACAAAACCACAAAAGCGAATTCGCACCAGGAGAGACTTCAGGATGCCTCCCTAACTTGTGTCCTTGGTTGAATCCGTTCTTAACTAGCTCTTTCCAAAAGAAGCTGTAACCTTCATTTCTGGGTAATCTGTCCACTTTTGCTCGCCCCCAACCCCCACCCCCGAATCGTGGGAGGACAACAGTTTGATCCCTACAGCCTGCAAAGCAACTCCTCCTCGAAACTGCGGTGCGGGGCAGTGGGCGCAGGAGGTCGCAGCCTGTGCCTGGGCCCTTCCTCTCGCAGCCCGAGGTTAATTTCAGTAACGCGCAGCGTCGCAGCAGGGGCAGGTGCAGAGATCTGGGGTTGATCGGCGGCGGGGATTGGTGGCTCTTGGCCGCGCCAGGGCCTCCAGCCCAGCCCCGCACCCTGGACCTGCCCGAGGGGTTCTGCGCCCACTTGGGAGACCTACGCGACGGCATGGGCCCTGCACCACAAAACCCCAAGAAAAATGACTTGCCATGGTGGAGGAGAGATGCGCCCTTGGCGGCCGCGAGGAAGCCCCAAACCCAGCGGAGCGCGGGCGGTGCAGAGGGCCCGGCAGGCTGGTTTTGGTTTCGTTTTTTTGTTCCCGCTCACTTGGAGACAATACAAGAAAAAGGCGGCCTTTCCATCCCATATGGCTGTTCTGTAGCGGGTGGCCTCTAGGTGGGAGCCAGGACTTGGAAGGGCCGCTGGCACCAGACCAGACATCCTCCATAGTTTTGCAACTTTTGAAAGCACGCTTTCAAAGACAGGCCCGGAGATTCCCTGGCAGAAATTTAGGGATTCTCCCAATGATTCGTCAGTCCTGCACTCAATGGACTCCTTCCGAACCCTCAGTATTCCCCCTACAGTATTCCTGTGTGGTCTCTTCTCCCAGATTGACAAATACACAGGATGAAAAGCATAGTCCCTGCCAATAGGGAGCTGACCACCTATATGCAAATATAAAATGTCAACATAAATGATGTCTATGAAAAATATTAAACTTTGCTGTAGAATTGGATTCAGGCAGTGCTGGATTTCTGAGTCTGGCTCTTGGGGCAAAGGGAATCCACATAGGTAACAAGTTCAAAGTAAAATTAAAGAGAACACGAAAAAGGCAAGTGGATGGCCAATGTGAAGATGCTTGGGCTTATCCCTAATAAAGACATACACATTGAAATCACAACGCGATACCGTTTTTCCCAGCGTTAGCCGGTCTGTAAAGAACATCAATGTTGTTGCAAGTCGTGGGAACATTTTGAAGGATTTTGACCCCTATAGAGGGATCTCAGACCACAGCACTCCAACATGGCTCAGTATGCTGAGTACTTTAAATGAAGGACTTCGGTCAAAAGAGTCTCTTCCTGGGCCCTCCTGGGCCCTCCTGTATCCTTCCCCTTTTCTGCCCTTAGCCAATCAAAGAAACCGGAATTTCTCTTCTTCCAGGTGGGTGAAGGAAACTAGAATCCCCCCCCCTGCCCCCAATAAACAAGCCATTGAACCTAGAAAGTCACTCTACGCCTTCTCCCTGTTCCCTTGAAGACCCTCGTTCTAGAGAAGTCCTGCCCTATACCGAGGACGAAGGAATGCTACACAGGGAAACCAAGAAGAATCTGAACCGCCTTGCTGGGCTCCTGGTATTGGGCCAGTCTGTTATCGTTAGATAATACCTTTGATGCAGTCACGTTTCTGCACAGCTGTCCTTCATCAACATAAGCATAAAAATAGTTTTCTCTGGGTCTTCAATTCTGAATGCTCCTGTCACATAAAACTTTTAATTAATAAATAATGCTTTTTCTCTTGATAACCTTGTTGTTGTTGTTGTTGTTGTTAAAGAAGTGTGACCTTTATGATGGCTTAGGAAAATGTAACACCGTCTCAATTCTACACTATGAACACATAAAATGCAAGAAATAAAATGCACATATCCTTAGACTTAGCAATTCATTTTTAGTAGTGAACCTGAAGTGAAAGTAGCAAGTGATACTAAGATGTTGTATAAAATTTTTAATTGTATGTTTCTTGCTACACAGGTAATAATAATTTCTTTTAAAAACTGATCCACTCAATGAATGGAGCTCTCTGATGTATAGATGATGGTATCTCTACAAGACATGAGGCTATGAAGATTTTAAAACAGAATGAGGTAGATTTACACAAAATTTATAGTTTATCTCCATATTCATATATTCAGGTACCCATTTGAATGGCCTAATAAGAATCTAAAATTTAATGATATAAAATGAAAAGCTGACGACACATGTAATAGTTAATGTGTCAATTTGACTGGGCTAGAGAATGCCCAGTAAAATGTTATTTCTAGGTATGTCTGTGAATGTTTCTAGGAGAGATTGGCAATTGAATTGGAAAACTGAAGTAAAAAGGATCCACCCTCACGAATATAGATAGGCATCATCCAATCTGTTGAGGACAAAAAGGTAGAAGATGGGTAAATACATTCTTCCTTTTGGAGCAGGAACATCCCTCCCCTGCTGCTCTCAGACACTAGCAGTTGTGATTCTTGGGCCTTCAGACTCAGACTGGAATTACAGGACCAGCTTTTCCAGGACTCCAGCTTGCAAGTAGATCATGCAACTTCTCTTCATGAGCCAGTCCCTCATAAGAAATCTCTTTCTAAGTATCTATGTATTTCCTAATGGTTCTGTTCCTCTGAAGAACCCTGACTAATACATATGGTCAAATAATTTTCAACAAGAGTATCAAGACCATTGAATGGGTAAAAGACTGTCTGAAGAAGCTGTTGAATATTGAAAATCTTAAAATCTTTGGTGCCAGGTATGGTGCACACATCTATTCAATGAGATTTCAGAATTGCTTTGGCTTGGTGTCTCTCACTCTTTCCCTTTCCACGTGGGAGAGTTTATTGCGCTTACCATTCTCAGTTCCATCACTGAATATTGGGTGTGTTGCAGACTCTAGATACAGTTCAGACCTGATAGAGAAACTGCCACGTGTCACTGACAGTTCACACTTTCTGAGTTTGATGCCTTGATTGGATGGAATTTTTGGTTCTATTCTTTTGGGGATGAGGTGAGTATATTTTGTGTATGAAGAAGAATGAACCAAATGATAGTGATTCAAAGGACAGGGCAAACTATGCTGGTGATTATTCTGGCCCAGCAAAATCTGGTTCTCCTAACTTTACAAGGATTTTCTAGACTCCTTATATTTGAATGGGTCTAGGTAACTATTTCTTGACTGAGATATGAGAACAAATGACAAGGGTCAGTTTTGGATCACAGCATTTAATTACTGGTCCAAGTCTCTCCAGACTCTGCTTTTACCCAGCTCTGTGATTCTGGAGGTATATCTCAAGATGGGGCTTCCAAGTGATAAGGATACAGAGACTCCCCTGCCAAGTTGTACTAGACATTGTGCATGATGGGTAAAACTGGCTTCCCCCATCCCCTCAAACTAAGGATTGAACCCAGGCATGCTCTACCACTGAGCAACATCCCCAGTGGCCCCACCTTTGTCTTTTGGAGACAGAGTCTCACTAAGTTGCTGACACCAGCCTCAAACTTCCATTCCTCCTGCCTCATCCTCCTGAGTAGCTGGGATTACAGTTGTGCACCACCATGCCTGGCTAAACTTCTATTCTTTATAAATTATCAAGTCTGAGATTATCTATAATAGCAACAGATAACAAAATAAGACACTCTCAACATTTTCAAGAGCTTTAATCTGACTATTTCCAAAGAAAAATAGGCATAGGATTTTTAAAGGGTAAATATAAAGATTTATTATGAATTTTAACATTTTTAAACACCAGCTTTCATTCCTAACAAAAATATAAAAATAATGAATACTTCTGATGGTACTAAAACCTAAAAATATCAGGGAAAAAAAACTTTTCCCTTTTAATTTCAGGTGGAAGCTAGCATTTAAAAGGTTTAGAAACTTCTAAATTTCTTGTCAAAATATGACTTAATTCGACTTTCCAGCTCTTCATGAAACATATACTGTCAGAATAAATGTCCTTCACCAAAAAAAGAACTTCACCTTCTCTGAATAGGATTTTAAATTTTATGCTTAAAGTTTCCGCAAATTAAGAACAATGAAATGCTAATAAACTGGGTCTCTTTCCAAATTACACTTAAACCCAGAGAGGGCAGGAACCATGTGCTACCTTCAGCCATTCTTGGTATCTAGAGGGAGAAGTAATGAGCCCCTAGTGCCGGGGTCCTGCCCTAGCGGGGTCCAGGGAGTCCTGAAGGATGAGTGGCGTTGGCGAAAAGATGAGACAGGAGTCGTTCCGTTGGAGCAATCTCCAGAGAGAGAGCTAATGCAGCTTTCTCTGGGTCATCTTTTATTACAATTTTTCTCATCATTATAGATTCAGAATACGTCATTGATTATATAATTTAAAACTTTGCCAAGACATGACATTTCCTTAACCATGATTGGGGGTACAAAAAATGTAACATTAATTTACATTTTTCCAGGATATGTCCTTCAGTTATATAATTATTAAAACTACAGAATCATTAATAAAATACGTCACTAATTTACATTTTTCAGATTTTCCCAAGATTTACTATTTTTCCCAAGATATGCTATTTTCTTATTAACTAATGCCAAACTACGTAACCAGACTCTAAGTCTCCTAACCAATCATTAACCTAAAGTACACGTGTACTTTATTTCTAATCTAAAATTCCCATCTAAAAAAGTCCCTTTAAATCTTATATTTAAAATATCCTGAAGTTTATTAATCATTCTTAAAACATATCAGAAACCTATACAACTAAAAACTTAAGAATTTCTAAACTTAAGAATCTAAATAAAATAATATTTCTAACATTATTCTAAAACTGTGTCTTATAAAGCTGTTTTAATTAATTCCTAAATTTATTCTCATAAAACTGGTTGGTTGAGCTACTTTCTCAAAGAGTTTCTTTGTTTCTCAGTCAAGGTGCACTAGTTCTCATATCTTTATAATCTTTCTCAATAGAAAGTAAGTTCTAAAAATCAATCCACTTTCCACCAATATTAACTATGCTCATCATATATCCCTATGTAAAGTAAGAAAGGGTTTATAAAAAGAGAAAAATATATCTTTATATGTTTTAACTTTCCTAAGTGTATAATATAACTTTCCTAAATGTAAAAATGAAACTGCATGTGGTGAACTTTGTGAAATAAGCATACTGATTAGGTTTTCTAAGAGACCGGAAATATGGGCTTGGGTTCTAGTTGATATAATCAATGTGGTGCCTAAAATTCTCATGACCTTTCAAAGGATGATTGTTGTCCGTTATCAGGTTTGTCCACAATGTACTGAGATAGAAGAACAGCTTTCTACTTTGTCCTTGATATGCTGAGGGGTAGTAGAACAGCCTCCAAGGCATGAACTACCTGTTATGTTCTAGCCATCTGAAATTTAATTTGTTTGGCATTTAACATACTCATGCCTCCTGTCAGAAACATAAGCATGAAAATGAAAAGTCCCAATTACATAAAAAAGGGTCTCATGGTTTCGGTTTCCCACCAACCAGCGTGGCTTTGCCAGCATTCATCCTCACTGTGACCCTGTCAAGACAGTGGGAGAGCGGCTTTGCCAACACTTTTTCTCACTGTGACCCTGTCAAGACAGTGAGTGGGGGATCGCCTTCACCACAGGCAGCTTTGCATTTACTTCTCCCTGTGTTTCAAGGTTTTCCATCTCTTAGACTTATTCTTTTTAATGTCACTGTTAAAGAAAGAAAATGCTAGTCTTTAGAAGCTCTCTTTGGAGAGGAGAGGGATTGGAAGGAGTCAGGGGATAGTTGGCATGCTCAGAGAAGGAAAGTTCAAGAAAAAGACCACACTTAGCTCTGAGAACGTTGGGTCTGTGGAGTTAATTGCTATGCACAGTGGGGCATGATCACTCCTGAAGTCCTCTGAATCTTGAGTAAAGTCTATAGAAATCACAAACCACAAAGTGTAACTATGTTCCTTCACTCTTTTTTTTTTAATATTTTTTTTAGTTGCAGATGGACACAATATCTTTATTTATTTATTTTTATGTGGTGCTGAGGATCGAACCCAGGGCCTCATGCCTACAAGGCAAGCACTCTACCACTGAGCTACAACCCCAGCCCCTATTCCTTCACTCTTGAAGTTCCTTGAATTTTTGGTAAAGTCTACAGAAATCCCAAACTGCCCAATGTTACTGCATGTCCTCTGGACAATATTAAGTATCGAGTCTACATGTTGGTGGGCACAGGGCCAAAATGGAATTGGCCGACATGACTGCGGCAGAATGAGCCAACATGGGCAGGGGGACATCTGGATCACTTAAGGTCGATTTTAACAGACATGGAACTCATCCACATAACTTATGAACAAAACTGTTTTTAACACAGTGTACTTACATATTTATAAACATACAGCCAAGTTCAAAACAAAGATGAATTCAAAAACTTGGAAATATATTTTTTATTTAAAAAGAAATGGACACTAAAGAATTAAAATTTTCAATTTTTAAAGGAAAGGATATTCATTTTTGCCAAATGTTTACAGTGATATGTATTAAAAGCTATAATTTTCATATGACTCCATCAGTTTATTCTTCAAAATACGCGATGTAAGATTGATCTAGAGAACACTTGACCACATCTACTTCTCCACCTCCATTCTTCTCCCGCTGAAAGTGAATGTTAATTAAATCCTCCACAATTTCTTCTTCCATCTGAATGTTCTCTATTCCCTTCAGAAGCACCGTCCTCTTAGATATTCCTGAAAATACCTAAGAAAGAAAAAAGATAAAAACAAAAATTGCCAAAAGTTTTGAATTCAAAACCTTTCCTCCAAAAGCTGTGCTTAGAATTTGGGATTTTATGTCAGTAGAAATAGGAAGCTGTAGGATTTTCAAAGAGAATGGTCAGAGTCAGATCTGAGTGTCAGAAAAATAACTCTGGTGGCATTATGAAGAATGGAGGAAAGGAGGGCAGTTCAAGAGACAGGTAAAATGGTAGTCAGAGATGGACTGACATGATTTGGTGAATCTGAAATGGTGGAGGTGAGGCAAAATGAAGAGTTAAGTATGAGTTCTTGCCACCAGGTTTGTGGAGTCGGTAGATAGTGGTACCATCTTAGAAGGAACAGGAAGAGGGTCTGTGGTAAAAATAATGAGTTCAATGAAAACAGCAAAAGAATGATTTCTAATACCCAGTGATAACAGATACACAAGAGAAATGCAGCTATGTTCCACATATAAAAATAAAGATGTTTTGTTATTATGTGAGTAATTTTCATTTAAAAATAAATAAAGTAAATAAGGCACTGATTTATATTAAAATATTCTTTAAAAAGTCAGACTCATTCTGAGCCAAGAAAAAAATGAAAAAACTATTTCGAAATCCCTCACTGATAAAATTCAAATAGTAACAGACACAATTTTTTTTTCTTTTCTGTGTGTGTCTCTCTGTAGAGGGGAGGGGGTAGGTTTGTGCAGTAAGTTCTCAAAATGAAAGAAAAGATGACTTTTTGAACTGTAAGCCCAGCTACTCAAGAGGGAAGCCTAGGCAACCTAGTGAGACTCCCATCTCAAAAAAACAAACCAACAAACAAAAAAGATAACTTTACCTGATACTTTTTCACGTGTCTTTCTATGTATGGAGAAACAACAACTCTATGGCAGCTTTGATTTATGTAAAGAGGATATTCTTTCTTTTTCAATATCTTGTCAACAACTGAAAGTAAGCAAAAAGGTTTTTTTTAATATCATAAACATTTTTAATCAAATTTAAAACTTCCTTCCTACAAAATAATATCACTGTGAATAGTGAATTGAGTGATTAATTTCTAAGAAATGTTACCACCCACAAGGAGACTTCACAGTACATAATTTTAAATAGTTCCTTCTGCCTTAAACTATCCCCTACAGTCCATCAATGCACAGGGGGTGCTGATTGTTCTCAGACGGACACTGAGTTACATAAAAAACTATAGTCATGTTGGGCACAGTAGCATATGCCGGTGATCCAACAGGCGGTAGAAGCCAGATCATGGCAAGTTTGAAGACAGTCATCAACTTAGCAAGACCCTGTTTCAAAATTTTAAAAGGGCTGGGGATATAGTTACGTAGTAAAGAACCCCTGGGTTCAATCCCTGGTACCATAAAAAAAAAAAAAAAATACAATAGTCATCTGCACTCATCCTAACAAGATTGGAGGGTTTCTGTTTCTCAAGAAGAATAAATGAGCTGGGCATGATGGCACATGCCTGTAATCTCAGTGACTAGGGAGGCTGAAGCAGGAGGATGAAAAGTTTGAGGCCAGCTCAGCAATTTAGCAAGACCCTCATCAACTTAGTGAGACCCTGTCTCAAGATAAAAAATTAAAAAGTGCTGGGGATATGGCTCAGTGGTTAACCACCCCTGGTATCAAAAAAAAAAAAATAAGTACAAATGAAAACTATGATTAGAACACCATAAATATATAGTGAGTTATAAATTTATTTTACATTATACATATATATAGTAAATTATTTGGTCATCCCAGTATAGTTTATTCAGGAAACTGAAATAATGTGGAGAAGGAGGGTACTAAAGGAAGACAAATAACAAAAATTCATCAGTTTTCTCCAACACAAATGATAGAAAGGACAGTCTGATTTTTTTAGCAGCATTTTTCCCTAAAGTAGAGAAAAGTCATATATCAAAACTGGATAAGGTTTAACAGAAACAATCCTTGAGAATATTTAACCATTTTTTTTTTAATTCCTCTCATAAGTCCACCTTGGGTCAGCAATATGGTACAATGGTTAGAAGTACAGGCCTTCTTGGTGAGGATGTGAAGTTGGCACCCTGAAGCACTGCATGAAGGAACGTAAAATGGTACAGGCAGTGTGGAAAACAGTATGGCAATTCCTCCAATGTTAAATAAACTTGCTATATGATCCAGCAATTCCTCTCACAATTATATATCCAAAAAAAAAAAATCAAAGCAGGCATTGAATAGATATTTGCCCACCAATATTCACAGAAGCATTATTCCCAACAGCCAAAAGGTAAAAGCAACAGATGAATGTGCTAGATACACACACACACACACACACACACACGCAGGCATAACAGAACGTTATTCAGCTTTAAGTAATGAAATTCTGACTATAATACAATACAGATAAAGCTTGAAAACACTATACTAAGTGAACTAAATCAGGCACAAAAAGACTAACAATGTATTATGATTCCACTTATTCAGAAAAGGCATGCTCATAGAGAAGAAATTAGAATTGTTACCAGGTGTCATGAGCCACCCATGGGTTGCATGTGGGTCACCACGCATGGAAGCTTAGTGGATAGAAACATCTGGTGTCTGGGAATGACCAGTGGACATTTTCTCTGGTCAATTGCCCAGAGACAGTGTGAATTTCTGTCCCACTCTTCCGTGACCCACCCAGCACCTGAGATGGGTGTGACCTGCCAAGATGCCAATCAACCCGCTGACTGCAAGACATCACAAAGCAAGACTTTGTCCTTTAAACCTTATCCCTGACTTTGATGTACCCTCTTAAATAAACCACTGGAGCCATCTTTCCTTTGTCTAATGCCAGCACCCATGTGGACTAGATCTATCAGGGGCTCTGCTTTTTGTAAATATATTTCTGACTATGTGTTTTGTTCTTCACTAATTACTTGAGACTCTAAGTGTTCAGGTGTCTTACACCCTCCTGGGCAGGAAGAAGATCCCCACAATGAGACTCTGGTCATTGCCCTTATTAACTAGGAGCTAAAAGAGAATGTAAGAGGGAGATCTTGTTTAATGGGGATAGATTTTCAGTATAAAATGATGGAAATGGATAGTGGTGATAGTTGTACAACATTCTGAAGGTACTTGATGTCACTAAACTATATACTTTAAATGGTTAAAGTGGTAAATTTCATATTATGTATATTTTAATCACCATTTAAAAACAATTTTTAGGGGCTGGGGATGTGGCTCAAGCGGTAGCGCGCTCGCCTGCCATGCGTGCGGCCCGGGTTCGATCCTCAGCACCACATACAAACAAAGATGTTGTGTCTGCCGAGAACTGAAAAATAAATATTAAAAAAAAAAAATTCTCTCTCTCTCTCTCTCTCTCTCTCTCCCCTCTTTCTTAAAAAAAAAAAAAAAAACTTTTAACAAGTTCAGGCCCTACATCAAATAGACTTGCTTCAGTTTTGACTCTGGTACTTATTAGCAATGTGGCCTGGGATTTTTTTTGCTTACTTCTTGACACTTCGGTTTTCTTTTCTGCAAAATGGGTATAATTATATTATCCATCTCATAAATTGTCGTGAAGATTTTGTAAAAACAGAGTTCTGAATTACCTGTAATATTCACCTTCAGATACTTTTATATCCTTCAGAAGTTACTTTTTATAAGGTTCAATATTTTTATCTCCTTTCAGCCAGACATAACCCCTTGGAGGTACCCCCAGAAAGGACATGAGCTCAGATTCTCAAGCTCATATTAGCACCCACTATAAAGTATTTAATTATATTCTAATGCACAGATAAGTCTCTTGTGGATTGTTTTTAATACAAGAGAGGGACCACTAACATCAAGCAGAGAAATTGAACATAAGAACTTGGAAAATTAAAATCTGGATCCTTAACTATTGAAATTTCTACCAAGTTATGATCCATTTCTAAAACCTCTTCCATTTGTGTCTCTATTTAACCATAAAACACCCACCATTGGGCACAATGGCACTTGCCTGTAATCCTATCTATTCAGGAGGCTGAGGTAGGAAGAGCACAAGTTCAAGGCCAGCCTGGGTATGTTAGTAAAACCCTGTCTCCAAATTAAAAATAAAATGTACAGGATGTACTTCAATGATAGAGCACCCCTAGGTTCAATCCCCAGTACCCCCACCACACACACACACACACACACACAGCCCTAAACTTTGTCCAAAGGTCCAGAGGAAATGCTTCACTTTTTACTAAATTTATGCTTTCAATACAGTGTTTCAATTTTTTAAGAAGTACTTATTACATTGGTATGAAAAAAATATAATCCATGTTTTTTAATTATACAGTTGGATTTTTACTATACATATAAACCCAGGAGAAGCCCAATTATTTCACTAACAAGAACAAGAGTATTTTGAGTATTTTACATAGAGAATCACTTGAACATATTTTTAAAAAGCAACTATAGAATCTTTTCAGTTGTAAGTATGTAAACCTTCCTAATATGATCTGATAAAAGTCCATTTTTTTTTCCTTTTTCTTTTATATGTGTGCATGTGAGAGACAGAGAGAAAGAGAGAGAGAGATTCTGGATATTAAACCCAGGGCTCCAGACATGCTAAGCAAAGCACTCTACTATAAGCACTAAGCTACATTGAAGACCTTTTTTATTTTTTATTTTGAGACAGGGTCTCCCTAAGTTGCCCAGACTGATCTCAAACTTGCAATCCTCCTGCCTTAGCTTCCTGAGTTGCTGGGATTACAGGCATGCACCACCACATCCAGCTAGTAAAACTCCATTTTACCAGAAAAAAAGAACAAATGTCTAGCTCATCTCTCCTGGAATAGATTTCCTCTACCTACAAGACTTTTGTCAGTAATAATATGTGAGATGAAAGTCAGAGTTGGGTTTTTTGAGGGTTTGGTTTTGGTTTTGTTTCATTTTGGGGTGCTAGGGATTGAACCCAGAGGTGCTTTACACTGAGCTACATCCCCAGCCCTTTTCATTTTGAGACAGGGTCTCACTAAGTTGCTTAAAACTTTACTAAGTTGCTGAGGCTGGCCTCAAACTTGTGATCCCTCTATCTCGCCTCCTAAGTTACTGGTTGAAGAGAGATTACACTTACACTTTAGTAAGAAAGTTACTTATCTTTTAGGCCTGTTTCCTCATCAGTAAAATAAATATATCACCTACTTCCAGAGTCGTGTGAGAATCAGAAGAGATAATACATAGAGTGTCAGTGTACAATGTACATACAGTGCCATGCATGTACATACAGGTCATGATGGTGACCTTATGGTTCAAGGATCATGGGAGTGTTATTTGTAGCAACATTAGCATTCTCAGTAGTAGTCAAAAAGTTATTTTCTAGACTCTACCCTTTTATAAGGTGAAGAAAAATCCCCAATTATCATGATAATTAGAAGTAAAGGAAGTAAAATAGGAATACTTTCAGAAATGGCAGAAAAGAGTTAAATGACAGAGTACTAAACTTCTCAGTGGGCAAGTACCTCCAGCTTCCACAAATGTGATGATGGCACTTCCGGATCGCTTATCATAGTCCACGCTTTCCACCTCTCCACCTCCAAGTCGGGACTTGCAAAAGCTCAGCTCTAGTTTGTCTCTCATCTGATCTTCAGGCAACTCATCAGGAATTTCAGTAACACTGATCTTCATTTTAGAAACTTCTACATGAACCTGGGAAACGGTTTCATGTTTGGAAATATGGATGAGAAAAGAGCCCGTGTTCAACAGAATTCCTCAAAGCTTTAAATTTACCTGGAATCTGACTCCTGTGTTGAGTGGAACTGGATTGGCTGTAACCTCCAGAATCACGTCCTCCATCTGCACACGATGCTTCCCCATTTGTAACACATTTTTTGCAACTGAAAATAATTTTGAAAGTATTAATTTCCAATTTCTCTGAAGTTTTTGTGCTTGTTTAAGAATAAATTTTCATGAATATTTTGATTTTCTTTAATAGCAAATGATATAATTTTAACATTTTTCTTGGGATTTCCAAATGCTAATGGTCTTGTCATCAAAGCAGAATATATTTATATTGCAATACATCAGCAAAAATGAGAGTTTTTCTCAAATTCCATATTCATCTTAAGGGATCAATCTCTCCTCTGATTTATCTTAAGAGACATGCCCAATGATAGTCCTCTAGAAATTCATATGTTATTCATATATTATTTCCATTAGGCACACACCCTTCTTTCCACCACTGACAGCATTACCAGAGAATTCCTCTAAAACATTAGATCTCAGTCAGAAATTCTTCCATGTTGAGTAAGTTAGGAAAACTTTTGCAGGCCAATGTCATTTTTACAATTGACTTTAACTGTATTTAACTTAATCATTTGTCACTCCCATGTTACAAGCACCATAGAAATACATAGTCGTTTTAGTCTTTGTCTTGATAAGGATAACATAATAAAAAATGAATGGCCCTGAAAACCACCAGGTCCCACCCTATAACTTCACAATGTACACGTGCTTATCAGAGTGAGAATGTTTTATTTTGTTTTGTTGGTGATTTTCATTTTTTTGTCATATTTAATGAGGCATTTCATTTCACTAAAATGCTCTTGAAATCATTCCTTTGAAAATCAGAGAACCCCACTATACCAATCACAAAGCCGTCAGGTCTAATTTTTTCACACAAATGGGAGAGGCTCAGTATTATAATTATGCCAAAAACATTAAAAATCCAAAGAGCAACTATATGCAAATTTAAAATGTATGTGAGTAGGTATTTCTTTTTTAATTGTGTGGCATGAGTTTATAACACTTCAGTTGCTGCAATTTGGAACTGCTTGTTCTAATTTATCATGAAGACAAGAGATGTTCATTCTCTGTCTCATAAACCTCACTGTGTTTATGACAACCAGATAGCACAGCTGGAGGGAGAGAGAAACAGGACTAGAAGGCAGGGCGTTGTCTTGTGGGAATTCAGACTCACTGTACCACAACATGACTTTATAAATTGGATAATTTTTTTTTCTTTTTTTTTCTTTTTTTTTTTTTTTTGCTAAGGGCAACAGACGACAATTACACAAAACATCAATGAAGTAATACTCAGATGATCCTCTTTCCCATTCACGCCCCCCCCCCAAGAAACTCCCAACATCTGGTGATATGACACAGTGGAGAGAGACCACTTATGTCTCAACTTCTATGACTCGAACAGCCAAAAGCCAACTCCTGATTCATTACGTTCAAATGTAGCACTGTCCCAGGAGATCAGGGGCTCAGAGCCATGTCAACAGTAGAAACAGTGATGTGGCTCTATCTGAAGAAAATCCTAATCCCAGCATTTCCAGGTAAAGGCTGTGCAGAAACCTGGCTCAGAATCCTCATTTATGTCTGCCAGTTCCATCCCGACTACCACTGTCCACTGCCAATGTGGCTCCTGGCCTCCACCTCTCGTCAGCTGCAGTGGTGGCGCCAGGGTAAACAGAAGCTCACTGGGGAAGAGAGCCTCATCTGAGCATTCACCAACCTTCTGGAAAGTCTTTCCTGTCAACATTTATTTTTAGGCTACCATGGTAGGACCGGGAGTCAGGAGATAGGGGTTATGATTAAGAATTTCTGAATATAAACATTGAATGGCCCTGAAGACCACCAGGTCCCACCCTATAACTTCACAAATACCAGAATGAAGGCCAACCTGCTCCGAGGAATGTTGGTCCTCAAGAAATTACACAGGCAAGTGATCGTGGACTGAAATCTCCAAAGCTATAAGCCAAAATAAACCTTTCCTCCTTTAAGTGGATTTCTCTCAGGTATTTGTCATAGTGATGAAAAGCTAACTAACACACATAATGTCTTATAGTCAGTTTTCTCATCTATAAAATGGGGATATTATATCTGCTTCAGAGTGTCACTACAAGGATGAGAAAAAATATTATATGGAAACATGGTAAACAATAACCAAATATCTAAGAAATAAATATATAACATATAAATACATAATTCTCTCACTTTTTCTAGTCAGTATTGTACAGTGTTCCATTCTAAAGCCCACATCATTCACGTAGATGAGGACCTTCTAAATAACTGTGCCAATAATACACTATCTCAAAATCTGGAAAGACCTGTCAAAATTCCAGTGCTCTCCAAAGATAACATGGTTATATATATATTTTTTAAGATTAATCATACCTTAAAGGGGAATGCAGGGAAGGGAGGGGGAATGGGAATCGGAAAGATGGTAGAATGAATCGGACATAACTTTCCTATGTTTATATATGGATACATGACCAGTGAAACTCCACATCATGTACAACCACAACAATAAGATCATAATTAGAATAAGTTATACTCCATGTATATTAATATATCAAAATATACTCTACTATCATCTATATCTAAAAAGAACATATAAATTTTTTTTAAAAAAAAAGAAAAAGAAACTACATCCAAAAAGGCAGAATACTGTTAGATATCAGAAAAAAAAAATGGTTTTACTTTTAATTATTAAAGATTTTTATTTTTATTTTTCTTCAAAAAAAAAAAAGGAGAGTAGTCATACCTTCTTCTTTTTCAAAGGTGATAAGTGCTTGTCCTTTTTGTAGCTCATAAGGCACTTGTGATTTCACTTCAAATGAATAGGAAATGTTTGAAAACTGGCAAACATCCTCAGGAGTCTCTAGTGATGTGAATTTTATCTTTGTCTCTGGAATATCCTCTTTAATCTAATTCAAATAGAAATGTTTGCTTAAAATCAAGATAATAAATAACTTTAGTCCCACCAATGACAATAGATTTGGTCAGCCAATAATTCATTCTCCACTGATTTTAGAACCTCATAGAATATTGACTGTAGACTTATTTAACATCTTTAGTAATTGCTTTTTCCCCTGCAAGTACTCAGTAATGTAATCAAATACTGATCCTTTAATATCATTTCACAAATGAAATTATAAATACATAATCCTCTCACTTTTTCTAGTCAATGTTTAAACTAGTCAGTATGTGTTCCACTCTAAAGACCACATCATTCATGTAGACAAGGACCTTCTAAATAACTGTGCCAATAATGCACTATCTCACAAGGAAATCATTAGATAACATGTTTAATTTCACTGCAAAGAAGTGTGAAATACAGGACTGGGTGTACTGTGGTTATGTTTATGACAAACCCAGAGAGTTTCATCTAAAATGAAAGACTACTGAATCATATGATATGAAATTTATCACATTTAAATTCCATATTTCCCCACACCTACCTATCAACTTTTAAACATTACCACAACATAAACTTATAAAAAAGTTAAGGGATACTAACAACAAGAATTAAAGGAACTGGGGATGTAGCTCAGTGCTTGCCTAGTATACATAAGGCCCTGGGTTCAATTCCCAGCATTACAAAGGAAAACAACAACAAAAAAAAAAAAAAAGAAGAAGAAGAAGAAGAATTGCAACCTGAAGGATAAAGTTAGGTGGTTATGATTAACTATTTAAAATGATTGGGATTTGCCTAGCGTACACAAGGCACTGGGTTTGATTCCCAGCACAGTAATAATTAATTAATTAAACAAGGGCTGGTGCGGCTCAATAGTAGAGCTCTTGCCTATCATGCTCAAGGATCTGGGTTGGATCCTCACATCATAAAAATATAAAACAAAATCACTGGGATTGACAGACATACACAACACACATAAATGCACAAATGAGTTTACATTCCTATTTTTCATGGTTATTTTGCATAAAAGGTGTATCACTAAAGATTAGACACATTCACTGAGTCATTTGATCTAACCTGACACTTATTTTATATCTTTACATCTAACTTCAGTAAAAATTTCTGATTGTTGGCTAGGTACCATGGCACATGCCTATAATCCCACCTACTCAGAAGGAGTACCACAAATTTGAGGCCAACCTCAGCAATTTAGCAAGGCCTGACGCAATTTAAAGAGATGCTGTCTCAAAATAAAAAGGTCTGAGAGTGTAGTTCAGTGGTAAAGTGCCCCCCAAATTCAATCTCCAGGACCAAAAATAAATCTGATTACCATAGGCTAACCAAAACAATCTGCATATCTGTATTCAGGGTACAGGGCTCATGCCTATAATCCCATCTACTCCAAAGGCTGAGGCAGGAGAATCAATCACAAATTCAAGGCCAGCCTGGGAAACTTAGTGAGACCCTGTATCAAAAATAAAATAAATAGGGCTGTGGGGAGAAGGGTGACCTGGGGATATGGCTCAGTGTTACAGTCCCTGCCTAGCATGGGCAAAGTCCTGGGTACAATCCCCATCAACACACACACACACACACACACACATACACATTTACAATATGGGGGCGAGGTTGGGGTTCTCAGTATACCCTGAGAAGGCAAGAGCTTTCCAGGGTGACTGAGAAAGCCCAGTACTAGTCCTGGCTAGTCTCTATTGTGACAGAGAACATCTCACTTAGGCTCTGTTGATCTCAACTTAGGTCCCTGCAAAGTGGGTCTACTGGACTGGCTGGTTTCTAAAGGTCTTTGATCTGGCCCCAGTCTGAGAAGTAACCAGAATCCTAACCATCTTCTGCTGAAATTCACCCATCTCATGAGCAGGGGCAACTTTACTTCCAGGTACTCAAATCCCTATCTTGTGTTTCAACAACAAAGTGATGATATTTTAATTTTCTAACCATCTGGGCTGTTAAGAAGAAACAAGGAATGAAAGGTACATCTAATTCAAATACAGGAAAATTTAGGAAAGAATTTAAATGGTGAGGATTAATATAAGTCCAACTTTTTAAACTAAAATTCACCCAAATTACTAGCACCTTGGATGAGGAAGATGATAAATGGATTGAGTGAGAAGACCAAGTATTTGATCCAAAAGTGATTGGTAGTAACTATCACTTTATTTGACTTTGTAAATTTTGTTCATTTTTTTTTTGGGGGGGGAGGTTGTAAGTATTATTAAAGTGTATATAAGTAACAGAAAAGTTCATATATCCTCCGGGTACCATGGCATACACCTATCATCTCAATTGGGAGGCTGAGGCAGGAGGATCAAAAGTTCAAACTTAGTTGGACAGCTCAGTGAGAACTTGCCTCAAAATAAAAAGGGCCAGGGATATAGCTCAGTGATAAAGTACCCCTGAGTTCAGTCCCCACTACCCAAAAAGAAACGTGTATGAATCCTAAGTATATATCAGGATAAAAATCACACAAAGCTGACACGCTGTGTGACTGGTACCCAGAACATGACAACACCCCAGAAACCTTCCTGGGTTTCCACAGGGGTCTTACCCGCCTCTGAAGGCAACTACTGGCCTAATTCTGAACATCTTGCTTTGGCACTTTATTTAAATGGAAACAAATGGTATACCCTTGTTATGGTTTGGATATGTGGTGTCCCCCCAAAAGCTCCTGTGTTAATGCAAGAATGATTGGATTGTGAGAGCTGTCACCAAACAGCCCATCCTAGTTTGAATGGACTGACTGGGTGGTAACCATATGGCAGGTGGGGCATGGCTGCAGGAGGTGGATCACTGGGGGTGTGCTCTGGAAGGGTGCATCTTCCTGAGGCCCCTTGCCCTCTCTCATCTTCCTGGCTGCTATGAGGTAAGCAGCTTTCCTCCACCATGCCCTCTGCCCTGACATTCTGCCTCACCTCAGGCCCAAAGCCATAGAGTTGGCCCACTATGTTCTAAATCTCTGAAACTAGGAGCCCAAATAAATTTTCCCTCCTCTAAATTGTTCTTGTTGGGTATTTTGGTGACAAGAATTAAAAGCTTATTAACAATAGCTGGGGATATAGTTCAGTTGGTAGAGCAGTTGCCTCGCATGCACAAGGCCCTGGGTTCAACCCCACCATCACAAAACAAAACAAAACAAAAAAAGTTGATTAACAACCTTCCACTGTCTTTTTTGATCAACACCATGTTTATGAGATTCATCCGTCTTATTTTATGTAGATGTGGTCTGGTCATTCTCAATATTGTGCAATAGTCAATTGTGTGTGAATATACCCTAATTTATTAATTTATCCTATTTTGGAAGAACATTTAGGTTGTTTTGGTGCTCTGAATGTTTTTAAAATGAACTTCGTGTAATTACATCACTTTTTCTTAAAGTACATGTCCATAAAAATGTGAAACACAAAATAGAGTACCTGGAAGACTCCGGCGGCCTCTTGTAACTCGGCTTCAAGCTTTTGAATCTCCTCCTTTAAATGGATATTTTCCTTTATAATTTCATCAATTAATCCCTAAAAAATATCAAATGGTACCCGCAAAGTTTAATAGAGCTCATTAGTTTAAAACTCATAAAGTTTAAAATGAGCTCATTTTTCTACATTAATTAAAAATGCTAAATTTCCCCACCTGAGCAAGACAAAGAAAGGTAATAGATACTCTCAGAATTAATTGTGCTCACATGAATAATATCTTCGTTGAATATTTTACCTGATCACCAGTGATTCTGCTAACATTTTCAATTTTTCTATCTCTATAATATGAATAAGGAAACTGCTTTTCACCCAGAACCAAAGTCAAAGACATTTTTATAATTGAGGCAGGGATTGAGACTAGTTCGCTTCCTTGCTATTTGTGACTACTAAATGACTTTTAAATTACACCAAAACTGTCAACTTGTTAATCTGTGGCAATATTAAAAAAAATATATATTAGCTGTGATTCCCATAGTCTACAGCTATCTTAAAAGGTCAAACACATGGCCTTTGGGTAACAGGCTTAAACTACCTGGGCCTCTGCTCCCTCTTTGGTTAGATCAGATAATTGCTAATTAATCTTTGAATTTCCAGGTGCAAGTCCAAGAATGAGGGAATGCATGAGAAAGCAGCTACATTCTGTTGTAAACTCTGTAAACAAAAGATTAGAAATACAAACCTTCCTACAAGGCTTAAATAACACAACAAAACTTAAAAAAAAATTCCAAAAATGTTGGATCCTAATAGCTTCCAAAATGCAAGGTAATGTTGGACAAAGACATATAAAAGTGCTTTACTAAAAATTAAATTTTTATTAATATCTAGTCATTTTCCTTTTTACCTCATTTTGGTCGTCTTTCATCAATTCTTCATTTGTCTGATGTTCCTTAAGAACTTGTTTGTTGTTTTCTTTATCAGCTTCCATGATTTTCTAATTATCAAAGATTTAAAAAAAAAAAAAAACTTTCAGGGCTGGGAATGTAGCTCAGTGGTAGAATGCTTGCCTAGCATGCGCCAAGCCCTGGGTTCAATCTCTAGCACCACAAAAATGAAGGAAGAAAAAGAGAAGGGATGGGGGAGGAGAAGGAGGAGGAGAAGAAATTTAATTTAAAATACTTTTTAAATAGTACATACACATACAAGGTGAAGAAGAAAGAAATAACAACTTTTATAGAGTCTATATTTCAAATAATTTTCACACCTATAAGTACATAAAAATTTCTTAAAATCATTTGCTTTCAAGGATATATATAAAATAATGTGTATTAACATTCTTTACAGTTCACATTCCAATTACAATATTATGCTCCATTTTAAAAGACTACTATTTTGATCTTCCAACCTTTCTAAAGGTTTTGATTTAAACATTTAATTCTCTCTACTGTATTTCCCAAAAGTAAACCAAGTATAAAGGCCCCCAATGCATTCTTTCTCTACATAGGTGATCTCACTTGGAGTTTTAATGAACTCTCCCTAGGGTCAATTAATTTACATGTGTTTTTAAAACCTCTAACTGAAAAATTAACATTCTTTTCAAGTATAAATATAGGCAATTATGGTAGTGTTCATACCAACTGTAACAAAGTCACTAGTAGAAAGGACAGATAGTTTCATAGAATATTATAATTGTTGCAAATATACTGAAATATTGTTTTCAACACAGCTTCTGATAGGTCTTGTGAAATACTGTAATATATTAATACATATTAGTATCAAAAGTTTGTTTAAATATTCTGATAACCATATTTCAATATAATTGGTTTTCTTAATTAAGAATGTGAAAAGAGAACCTAGAGAATGGGAGAAAATCTTTGCTAGTTATGCTTCTGACAGGATTAATATAGAGAATAGATATAAAAAATTTTTTTAAACTTATCATAAAAACAAGTACCCTAATTAATAAATGGGCTAATAAGCTAAACAGATATTTCTTAAAAGAAGAAATACAATGAACAACAAATACATGACAAACTGCTCAACATCAGTAACAATTAGGGAAATGCAAATCAAAACTACACTGAGATTTCATCTCACCCCAGTTAAAACGGCAGCCATCAAGAATACAAACAATAACTAGTCACAGTAGCAAACACCTATAATCCCAGCAACTTGGGAGGCTAAGGAAGGTGGATCACAAGTTCAAAGCCAGCCTCAGCAATGTAGCAAGGCCCTGTTTCAAAATAAAAAGGGCTGGGGATGTGACTCAGTGGTTAAGCACCCCTGGGTTCAATACTGGTACCAAAAACAATCAAACAAACAAAAAGAGAATACAAACAATAATAAATGCTGAAGAGTTTGTGGAGAAAAAGGAACAGTTTTATACTGTTGGTGGTATTATAAATTTATACAACCCTGAAAATCAATGAGTATGGAGATTCCTCAAAAGACTAAAAGGAACTACCATATGACCCAGCTATACTACTTCTCAGTATTTATCCTAAAGTGTTAAATTCAGTCTACTATAGCGATACATGCATACCCATGTTTATGCAGCAAAATTCACAATGGTCAAACAATGAAACCAGCTTAGGTGACCATCAATGGATGAACAGAGAAAGAAATGTGGTATATATACACAATGGAGTTTTACTCAGCTATAAAGAAGAATAAAATTATGTCATTTTCAGGAAAATGGATGGAACTTGAGAACATTATATTAAGCCAAATAGGCCAAACTCAGAAGGTCAAGGGTAGTATATTTTCACTTACATGTGGAAGCTAGAGAGTAAAAAGGAAAAGAGGGGTAGGGGTGGGGAGATCTCATGAAAATCAAAGGGAGATCATTAGAGTAGAAGAAAGGTACCAGGGGAGAAAAGGAGGTAATGATATTGGCCAAATTATATTGTAACTTAGTGCACATGTACAAACATGTAACAATGAATCCCACTGTTATGTACAATTATAATAAACCAATAAAAATGGAAAAGAAAAAAATTGGTTTCCTTTGTTAGTCTATGTATTTTTATACACTTAAAAAGCTTCATTTTTGATTAGGAAAGGCCTATAGGCATCAGGTGTAGTGGCACATGCCTGGAATTCATGATACTGGGAGGCCAAGGCAGGAAAATCACAAGTTCAAGGCCAGCAACTTGATGATACCCTGTCTCAAATAAAAAACATTCAAAAGAGCTAGAGGGATAGCTCAGTGATAAAAGCTCCCCTAGGTTCAACCCCTAGTATCAGAAAAAAAAAAAGGGGGGGTGGGGGGAGGCCCATAAGTTTTGCCACTCTAGCAAAGGATTAAATGGTATTAAAAAAGGGTCAAGAAAACCAGTCTGTACTGGTACTGTACTAAGATGAAAACTTGCTAGATTGTTTGATACAAAAAAACATCATGACTGTCTTTCTGTCTTTAGATGAACCTTAATAGCCAGTCTGCTGTATCATTTTCCAAGACTGTAAGTAGTTAAATTCCCAGTATTTTCAAAAAGAAAAAATTATTGCTTTTTAAAAATAAAAGACAGCAGGGCACTGTGGCACATGTCTGTAATCCCAGCAACTAGAGAGGCTAAGGCAAGATAATTCCAAGTTCAAGGCCATCCTTGACAATTTAGCAAGACCCTGATTCAAAATAAAAAATAAAAAGATCTGGGGATATAGGTCATTGATAGAGCACCCCAGATATATATATATATAGATAGATATATAATCCTCAGATATATAGATAGATAGATAGATAGATAAAGATATAGATATAGGTATACATTTATTTATATTTATATTTTAAGACTGTGTGTGTGTGTGTGTGTGTTTTGCACTGGGTAAACTTGCCTTAGTTTACCCAGTGCAAATATAGGAATATAAGAAAAATAGAGGGTCACATAGCACTCAGATCTTGGTTTCTAATACTATCTCCAATAAAATGAACCAAGGCTCCTTAAATCAGTGGTTGATTTTAGTCCTAGGACAGGAAATATATAAGATAAGCCTGGAATATCTTTTGTCACTCTGTGATCGCAGTTTACCCCATTACACGTTACATGACTTTGATTAATCCCACTATTTACTTTGATTATCTCATTATGGTGACATCTGCCAGGCACCCAGACTTTGATTTCTAACGCTGTTCTCCACTCAGAGGAGCCAAGGCTCTTTGGAGAAATGACTGCTCCAGGGATTGGAACAGAAAAACTACAAAATGTGCCTGGGACATCTTGTGATGCCAAAAAGCAAGGAAATGCTTAAAGAATGATGAGGACATGTCAAAAGGACACAGGATTCAGCTTTAATTGGTTTTCACTGACCAAATCTGGGAATAAATTAGGGATTAAGACAAATAATGGTAGTCATGATTAAAGCCACTGAGTAGAAAACAAAACTATGAGATGAAACCTAAGTAAATAAATTTAAAAATTGAAATTTTGGTGAAGACAGAAATATTTAGTTAGTTTCAAAATACTTCCCCACAAAATACGTACTACTTTCAAAGGGGAAAAAAACAAGTAACTCACAGCAGAAAAGCCTGGCAGAAGCCACCATACCAAGATAATTTAAATAATGTGATAAATCAATATCATGTAACATGAAATAGATGCCCTGAAGTCACAGTGTGATTTTGATGATATTCCTGCCAAAGATGCCATCTTCTGAATCTAAGACAAAAAAAAAAAAAAAAAAATTCAAGTTTAGGCACATTCTACATTACAACTGGCCTGTTCTCTTAAATAAAAGTGTCAAGTTCATGAAAATCAAGGAAAAACAGAGAAATTTCCAGACTAAAGGAAACCAAAGAATATCACAACTAAATATGCAGTCCATGATTCTGATATTGAGACAACTGGGATATCTGAATTTAATATGATGATTTGATGATAGAAATATCACTATTAATTTCATGATTGTGATGACTATATTGTGGTTATATAAAAACACATTTTTTTTGGTAGGAAATCTATGCCCAAGTATGTCACAGTGATAAATCATCAAGTTGGAAATTTGTTTGCAAATAATTCAGGGCAAACAAAAATTGTTCTACTGTACTTCAAATTTTTCTGCAAGTTTGAGATGGTCTAAGATGAAAAATATATACATTTTTTTAAAACTACAGACACACACACAAATATATATATATATATATATATATATATATATATATATATATATATATACATATCACTGTTGTATAAACAATTGCAGAATCTTCCTAATGGTGTTCACCCAAAGTCTAACACAATCTGACCCCAACTTACTTACCATATTTAAACAACTCCTCAACCACATTTGAGGGTTCCTTGAAGGAGGATCCCTCCTCTGTCTCCGGTACCGCACTATATCACCTCCTTCCACCCCTCCCAACCTTAATTAAGTTCAACCCCAAGAAATTCTGCTGTTCAAGGACCATTCCAAATCTCCCCAAAGTTCTTAAAGACTTGTCTGATTCCTCCAAAATATTACATCCCCTCCCCCACTTCATTTTTTGGTTAGGAGTACTTGAATTTATTTTTGTATCTGTGTCATTTTCCGTGACTGAAGACAGGAATCATGTTCACTTCCTCTTGCAATCCATGCAAAGCACAACTTTACACAATGAAAATATTCAATTTATGGAAGTGTATGGTATCTTGACTTGCATATTTGTTCTGCACAGACCTCGTATACATGTGAAGTCCTCTTATTATATTTCCAAAAGACAGAAACTTCACTGTTATTTAATTGCTTTCTTAAATTATTATTGTTGGTGGTGCATGCCTGTAATCCCAGCAATTTTGGAGGCTGAGGCAGGAGGTTCACAAATTCAAAGCCAGCCTCAGCAATTTAGACCCTGTCTCAAATTTTAAAAACAAAATAAAACTAAAAGGACAGGGAATATTGATTGTTCAGTGGTAACGTGCTCCTGGGTCCAATCCCCAGTAAAGTGTCCCCCCCTAAAAAAAATCATTTTTACAATGTATTAAAGGTTCTCAATGTAAATGGTCCCCCCAACTCCTTAGGCATGTTCACCACCTGAATAATATCCCTCTTTGAAGCGAGTCAGATGTGTGGTAATACTTTCCTTTTGTGCAATCATGTGGGGGGCAGAATAATGACCCTTTCAATATCCACATCTTAATCCCAAAATGTAAAAATGTTAGATTACATTGCAAAGGAGACTTAAGGCTGCAGATTAAATTCAGGTTGCCAATCAGCTGTCTTTCAAATATGGAAGTCTTCCGGAATTATCTCTGGGAACCAGTGTGATCCAGAGGGTCCTTAAAAGTAAAAGAGGAAGACAGAAGAGTCAGTGAGATGTGAGGACTGAAGAATGGCCAGAGATGCAAAAGTTGCTGGCTTTGAAGATGGAGAAAGAGCAACTGAGTCAAGTGAGGTGTGCAGATTCTAGAACTCAGAAAGGGAACTGGTCCCAAGAGCCTCCAGAAAAGGAAAGCAGCCCTGCCAACACTTTGGCTTTAGCCCAGTGAGACCTGCACAGGACTTCTAACCTACAGAATTCTAAAATTAAAAGGAGGGAGGGGGATAAACCACTAAATCCATGTAATTCATTATGGTGGTGAAATAAAAACCAATACAAACCACCATCATCTCGTTTCCCTAAAATATCATATCACTGTGTTGCATAGTGTTTTTGAATGGAATCTTTGCATATTCAGGCCCAGCAGCAAGAAGAAATACAATATATGCATGTTGTATATACTTGGAACATAGTGTCAAAGGACAAAAGTACAACAGTTTAAAGCTCTTACTTGGCTTTATTTTACTATTGGAGGATCTCACACTTTATTTCATAAATAGATTTAAATGTTCCCATGAGCTGAGTAGAAGTTGGTTTTGCAGAGAAAGTTTTAAAAAGCAGAAGGGGGGGAGGTTTGTACAAAAAGTAGATTGGTCATTGCAATGTTACTTTCTTTGTAAGGCTGGGACAGACAGGAAATCAGAATAGAAAAATAACTGCTTGGTTACCAACAGGCTATTTCAGGTTACTTCTTTTTTTTTTTTTTTTGTATGAATTAAATCAGAGGGAAGTCATTATCATGCTAATTGAAACTAGCCTGCTTAGGAAACTTGGCTGTTATCTTTCTCAGAAGGACAGTTACAACTTAGTTTTACTTCAGTGACATGGAACTTTAGCATGGGTTACTCCATATTGATTTTTTAGTCTGGTCTCTTGGGGCCCAGTGCATGAGCTTAATCCAAATAATGGCCCCCTATAGTTTTGATTTTACAATAGTATTCTCCTTTGGATGCCTCCTACAAGAAAACCTTGCCAGTTCTGAAAAGTGAGACATGGGTGCAGAACTCTACGTCTGCCAAGAAGAATAGAAATCCGTTTTCCTAAGAACTCTTCCTGGAGACCCTCCAAGAAAACAGTAGGGAGACATAAATCATTTTAAGTTTCAATTTCCCGAACGAAACAAAGCAAACAGACGACGGGTCTGAGGGCCCGACGGCGCAGAGAAAGCTAAATGGCCCCCGAGGCAGGTGCGCCGCAGGGGTTTACGTGTCCCCAAACACCCAAAGTGCGGAAAGCGCTCTTGAGCGCGGGGATCCCAACCCTGCCTCTCCCCAATTCCCGAGCGTCGCTGCAGTGGAACCCGCCTCCCTTCCCACCGGGGCTGCTCGTAGCAGGGATTAGGAGCAAGGGACCGGGCGCCCCACTCACCAGCGTCCACCAGCCAAGCGCAGCGCCCCGGGGCTCCAGCGCGCGTGACCTTCCGGAAACCGCCCTTGCCCAACGCGGCTGGACGGCGACGTACTGGGTGCTGGAGCTGGTGCAGTCTCCTGCAGAAGCGCCCAGAAACAGCTTAGGTGCCCTCGAGTAGGTGCCACTCACTCAAACCGCTTGGTTCCTTCAAAAAAAAAAAAAAAAAAAAAAGAAAGAAAGAAAGAAAAGAAAAGGGGGGAAGACTTTTCTTTAAAACTTAAGCGCGACTAGGAACACTAAACCTTGTGGCTCCCATAATCATCCACTAACAGAAACAAAAAGTTAGAACTGATTTCACTTTCGGTTCTTGAGACACGGTTGTTTTGTTTTTGTTGTGCCAACATTTTCCTAACAAGTATTGCTAAAGTATCTAAAACACTAATTTTAGGACATGATTTTTAAAACACATTTTTAAGTGTATTTTACAGCACAGACTGTTGGAAAAAAATGGATAGAAACCAAAGTCAAAGCAGGAATCTTTCCAGATTATAACTGTTATTTATTAGACAATATAAACTTAGTTTATGAGTTTTTACAGTCAGTGGTGCTTTGTCTCTGCCACATCCCCTGGGCTATGAAATTGGGAAAGCCCTGGTGTTGAGTTGGTTTCTATGACCCAAGTCCCTTGAAAGTTTTCTCATAATCTTTTGTTTTGTTGTGAAGCTTGTAAACAAATATTTCACTAGATGTGAACTTTTTCTTTGAAAATAAAAACATCTGGTTAATTTCAAAAACTGCAATTTCCTAATCCTACACAAAGAACCCACCCCACAGCTGCACTCACTCATACACAGAGGTGGGGAAAGGAGATGAATCAAGATTATCTCAAGTCATTAATCAATTCCTGTTTATGGTGACATGTAGTTGTATGTAGTAACCAATGTGGTAGTCCAAAATAACAGGCAGAAGCAAAATTCCTTCCCATCAAGAATCTTGAGCCAGGCATAGTGCATGTAAGGCAGGAGGACTGCCAATTCGAAGCCAGCCTCAGCAACTTACTAAGACCCTAAACAACTTAGTGAGACCGTGTCTCAAAATTTAAAAAATAAGAAGGGGTAGGGATGTAGCTCAGTGGTTAAGCACCCCTTGGTTCAAGCTCTGGTACCAAAAAAAAAAAAAAAAAGGATTTTTATGGACAGCAGTCTAAAGTGGCATGTCTAAGTGAAAAAAAAAAATGTTGAGTGACAAGGACTTGTGTTTATCCTGGATAGAAAGTACAAAAACCCCATGTGTTGCTTAACTTCAGGGGTGGGGGATATTAATTCTGTTTTACCCTGGACTTTTAGAGGGAACATTAATTTGTTAAATAAAATTTAGAGGAGGCCATGTGGGGAAAATGGAGTTACTCCTGATGACATTCTACATCACCAAGAAAAAAACTAAGTTGTTGATCTGAACTTCCAAAAAATTAAGACAGAGATAGAATAGCCAAATTCCAAACCAAGCCAGTTTTAACCAGCATGATAAGGAGGTCTCTCTGCGCAAACCTTTACAAGGAAAGTAATTTTGAAAGACCAATCCATTTTCTATTTCTTTTTTCTACTTTCCTTAGTGTTTTTTCCCCCTTGCCCCTAAAGCCAGCATCCCCCACTCAGCTCACCAGTAACCTGAGGAATAGACTAATCCCCTCTACCTGAGGAAATTTAAGATGTCTCCTCCACAAAAGAGGTAAAGATTAAAGGTAGAGGAGGTGGACTGAGATGAAACCAATGGGAGAAAAGTCCCAGCAGGCAATGGACTCAAGTGTGTCCCCTTGAAATTTATATGTTGAAATCTGAACCCCCAATGTGATGATGGTCATGGGGATGGAGCCCATGGGAGGTGGTTAGGTAAACAGGGTGGAGTCCACATGGAGAGGATTGGTGCCCTTATGAAACAGGCCCAAACGATTTTGTTGGTCCCTTCCATTGTTGTGAGGACCCATTGGGAAAGTGCCATTTATGAACCAGGAAGAGAATTTGCTGCCCGACCACCACCCCTGAACATGCTGATGACTTGATCATGACTTCTGGCCTTCAAAACTCTGAGAAATAAATTTCTGTTTTTGTGTTTGTGGTACTAGGAATAAAACCAGGGGTGCTTTGCCACTGAGCTACATCCCCAGACTTTTTTTTTCCCCAGACCATCTCGCTAAATTGTTAAGACCAGTGTCAAACTTGTAATGTCCTGCCTCAGCCTCCTGAGTTGCTGGGATTAAGGTGTGAACCATCATACCCAGTATAATGCTCTGTTGTTTATAAAAGCCACCAGTATTTAATGTTTTGTTATAGTAGACTGAAAGGTCCAAAAAAAAGCATGAAAAAAACTTACCAGGCACCAAGAATTTAATGGGTATGCAAACTGGGGAAATGCAATCTGATATCAGTTGTTGTTGTTGTTGTTGTTTTTTCTGCCCTTCCTTTCAGAAAAGGTCTAAGATACCAAGCTTGTACACTTTTGCAAAGAATTGCAGTTCATCCTTGGAGAAGTTGAAACACTTATGATCAGCATTATACAAGATCTTCAGGGATTCCAAGTGATCATGTAACACCAGTCTAGTTTTCAAGAAGTTTGCTTTGGGAATATACAAATGATAAAGGAAAATGCTTATCCCCACCTTTTATTTTCCAAGGACCAGGGATTGAACTCAGGGGAACTTCATCACTGAGCCACATCCCCAGCCCTATTTTGTATTTTATTTAGAGACAGGGTTTCACTGAGTTGCTTAGTGCCTCGCCTCATTGTTGCTGACTCTGGCTTTGAACTTGTGATCCTCCTGCCACAGCCTCTGGAGCTGCTGAGATCATAGGCGAGTGCCAGTGTATTGGTGCTTACTTTTTTTTTTTTCTTTTTAATGTTGTTTTTGCACTACAAGTCTATTTTGATGCCCTTTTTTTTGGTGGGAGGGCAGGTATGAGGGATTGAACTCAGGGGCACTTTGCCACTGAGCTACATTCCCAATGCTTTTTTATTGTTTACTTTGGGATAGGGTCTTACTAAGTTACTTAGTTCCCCCCCACCTCCGAATTCCTGAGGTGCACCTTGAACTTGTGATCCTCCTGCCTCAGTCTTCTAAGTTGCTGGTATTACAGGCCTGGACCACCATGAACTGATAAAATACATACTCTTTACCAGGCAGGCAGTACTAGATAGTTAAAAGCATGGATTTGATGATGTCTGATGTGGCTATAAGTACCAATTCTAAGTTACTAAAGTTCCTCAGTCTTAGTTTTCTCAGCTGTCATAAATGAGGTAGGGCTGCACATCAAGAACTAAGCACATTACCTCTCCATAGCAAGCCTTCAGGAAATGGTAGCTTATACTATGGGGAGGGGGATTTTATTGTTCTTTTAATTTTTGTAACACATTTCAATCCTTTTATATTCTTTCTTCCTTTTTGTCTTTTTGTTTTAATCTTCCTTACCTACAGAAGTAGTATTAAGGCAAAGACACCCCCCTTTTATAAAATTTCCACATGTCACCTGCAGTTTCCTAGTATAGTGACTATACCTACTGGTTGCTATATATTTACATCTATTGATTAAATATCAGCAAGGAGTCAAATGCTGTGAGCCCAGTGTTGTAGTCCCTGTACAGGTTTTCATATTCACATGTGTAAGTGAGTTTTTATAAGCAAATAAAATATTGTAATATAGATCAGTCACTTATAAATAAATCTAAACAAAATAATCATAAAGTTACAGAATGAAGGATTTTATCTTAATGAATCTTGCCTTAGTCACTGATTTATCATATAAACATAACTGACCAGTCAGAAAAGTCTGTTGTATTGAAGTATATAGAGAATGACATATTGTCTTTAAAAATGCTCAGATAGGCAGGGATGAGCGGCTGCACCGGGAGGAGTCTGCTGGAGCAGGATGTGAGCTCCCAGCCCAGGATTGCTGTTGGGCAGGCGGCTACAGGTTAGGGGCGGCAAGGAGTCAGCTTGCCATTCAGCTGAGAGCCCCTGGGGACACACTGAGAGTATGAGGCTCTGGCCTCCCCAGAACACTCCCTTGTGAACACTTCCACCACTGCGGAGCCTTCCAAGCCTACCTCCTGCTGTGTGGTGATCTACCTGCAGCGGGAGATTGGGGGGGGGGGGGACACATGTCTATGCCCAGCCTCAGGTGCCAAGCCCAAGCTAAGTGGCTTCAAGGGAGGAGGGCTGGACAACAAGTACGTGCAGCTCAATGTAGTCGGCTCCCTGTACTACACCACGGTGCGGGTACTCACCCAACGTGACACCATGCTCAAGGCCATGTTCAGTGGGCGCATGGAGGTGCTGACTGACAAAGAAGGCTGGATCCCCATAAACCGATGTGGAAAGCACTTTGGCACCATTTTGAATTACCTCCGAGATGACCCTATTACCCTCCCTCAAAACCGGCAAGAAATCAAAGAATTGATGGCTGAAGAAAAATATTACCTCATTCAGGGCCTGGTGAACATGTGCCAGACTGCCCTGCAGGACAAGAAGGACTCCTACCAGCCTGTGTCCAACATCCCCATCATCACATCCCTGAGGGAGGAGGACAGGCTCATCAAATCCTCCACCAAGCCCATGGTGAAGCTGCTGTACAATAGAAGCAACAACAAGTATTCCTACACCAGCAACTCTGAAGACCACCTGCTGAAAAACATACAGCTGTTTGACAAGCTGTCCTTGCGCTTCAGTGGCCGCGTGCTCTTCATCAAGGATGTCATCGGTGATGAGATCTGCTGCTGGTCCTTCTATGGCCAGGGTCGTAAGCTGGCAGAGGTGTGCTGCACGCACTCCATCGTGTATGCCACAGAGAAGAAGCAGACCAAGGTGGAATTTCCAGAGGCCCGAATCTATGAGGAGACACTCAATGTCCTTCCTACTCTATGAGACCCCCCAAGTCCCTGACAACTCCTTGTTGGAGGCCACAAGCCGGAGCCGCAGCCAGGCTTCCCCCAGTGAAGATGAGGAAGCCCATGAACTGCGGGATCATGTGCGCCGCATCCATGTCAAGCGCTATAGCACCTACGATGACCGGCAGCTCGACCGCCAATCTGCACATCGTGACTGATAAGACCTTCAAGGAGATGGGGCACAGGAGGCCCTGTCTCCTGCCCTCTGCAGCCCCACACTGCAACTGCCTGGTTGTCTGCTCCAGCACTCAGAAACATGACAGGCCCTTCCTGTGAAATCAAGGGGCCTGGGCTGGGAAGGGCCCATTCCCTGGCCCTGACTGTTGAGCACTACCAGATCCATCTCCCTTCCTGTCCAGCAAGGAGCTACTTCTGTTGTGGGGTGAGCTGACCAGCCTCCCTCCTCCTGCTAAGCACATTCCCCTCTGGGCCCTATGCTGAGTGCCCTTCCTCAGCGGATCCCCACAGGAATGGCTTCATTCTGGGGGAAAGCCTGCTTCTGGTGCTGTGGAGGCCCAGTCTTTATCACAGGTGGGGCTTCTTTTTCCCTAAGGTGTTGAAGCACAGGTTTGATGAGCTTGATTTTAAAAAAAATAATCTAGGAAATGAATAGTTTTGTATAATGAGGGGACTAGGCATTTGTTACCCCTGCAGGGTGCCAGAATCCTGCATAAGGTAGACCTCTCAGCCCTTCTTGATGCTTTTGGGATCTGTCTTTAATGCACTTTGTACTGTTATTGAGGAGATTAGCCTGCCCTGACCCACACCTTTTCCTGACCCTAATCCCCTTTTCCTGCAGAATCATTCTGAGGGAGAGGATAAAGAGAAAGCAATAAAAACAAAACTGACCAGCAATAAATAAATAAAAATAAATAAAAAAATAAAAATGCTATAAAAGGGAATAACACAGTGTTTTGCTCATGAACAGAAGGTTCAGAAATAAATATTCAAGGCCATTTATCTAGCAGGAAAATTCAACATTATATTAATATTATTTTAAGGAAATCTGAGAGTACTGCTGAGATTTTCTGCTTTATGTATCTAATTGCAAACTGAAGTCTGCTATGACAGAATTCTCATAGCATGATTGATGCTAGCATAAACTCAATTATTTGGTTTGAGTTTAAAAATCATTGTTCAAAGAATCTTAAGGGTCATAAGATTTAAAGAGAATATAGTCCTGAAAGGTTGGGAAAATAGAAATATTAAGTACTTATTGCTATCACCAAATACTCCGATAGACAATCAAGCAAAAAAATGAATCAACACAGCTTTTCAGGAAGTTCAGTTTTTTGTTTTTTGTTTTGGTACCAAGAATTGAACTCAGGGCCACTTGACCTCTGAGCCACATCCCCAACCCTATTTTGTATTTTATTTAGAGACAGGGTCTCAATGAGTTACTTATCACCTTGCCATTCCTGAGGCTAACTTTGAACTTGCAATCCTTCTGCCTCAGCTTCCCAAGCCACTAGGTTTACAGATGTGCAACACCAAGACCAGCAGGAAGTTCAGTTTTTAAGAAAGCCTGCAAAACTACAGTGAAAACAGTTAAAGAAACATTAGAAGAAAACATTTTTCTTAAATGTCTTTGTTTTTATTTGTGGGTTTTGATTTTTGTGAACAAGAGGTTGAACCCAGGAGAACCCAACCTTTGAGCTACATTCTCAGCCCTTTTTATTTTGAGACAGGCCTCACTAAGTTGCTGAAACTGGCCTCAAACTTGTGATCCTCCTGCCTCAGACTCCGGAGTAACTGGCTGTGCCATTGCTCAGCTTATCATTGTGTTTGATTTGAGAATGTGTAGATTGTTTCCACCTGAGGGGCTACATGAGGTGTTCTAGAAATTGCCAAGAAGCAAGATTGGGGTTGGAGTTTGTGAAAATTGTTTCTGTTTGTTTCCCTGTCTTGAACAGTACTTGAAAAGAGGTAACAAATGGTTACAACAAAGTCACTCATGTATTCAGAATGTCAAAAACATAACAAGCAAAACAACTCAATTTTTTGTTCTAAGTTAGATTTGTTTTCTAGTTGGTCTTATCCAGCCAAGTTACATATAAGAACACAGCTTCACTAATATTTATCTTATTATAGTATGTGGCCTCTCTTGATTTCCCTTGAAATGTGCACATAGTTACAAGAAAGGGGAAAAGACATGTTTCTAGACAGGAAGACATCCTGGAGAACAAGGCTTCTGGAACTTGAAAGTCCACACAATTCAGCTGGATATCTTGTTATAATATACATTCTGATTTTGTGGATACAGAGTGAAGATTCTGCATACCTAAAATTCCCAGCTGACGCTGATGATGCTGGATTTGAACTACACTTTGAGTAATAAGGCTGGACTTACCAGTGCACTAAAGCAAAGAATGACCACAAATGGTCACTCCAGTGGGAAGGTTCTATTGGATACCCGGCTCTCCCCATCCTGTCTCTCTCCTGGGAAGTTAAGGGCCTTCCAGTTACCAACCTGATTAGCGGGCCCACTGATAGAAAATGAGGTATCTCTAGGAGTCCATTGTGCCCTTTTCCGAAAAAAAGAACAATATCTGTTCTAGTCCCCCATGCCATCTCCTTCAGAGAGCACTGGCTCCTTGCCTGTAACTGGGTCACCACTTCAGCTACTCTGAAATGGAGAGGAAGGAATAAACTGTGAGGGTGAATGGTTCAAAATGACACAAAAGAGCAGAAAAGGAAGTAAGGAGAATCCAGGGGAAAAAACAAAAACAAAAAAACAAACAAAACAAAACAAACAACAACAGCAAAAAAAACACAAGACTAGTATATCTGGGAACTTAAAAGGAATATTCTTTTCTCCTGCATTAATTATTCATTTTCATTTGTTCTAAGCAGCTTGTCCTGGTGTGCAATGTAACAAGATAGAATGATCTCACGCACAAGAGTCATTTTAATAACAAAATATCAGCGTGGGGCAGTTGGACCATGTCTGATATATGAAGCCAGTGTTAATTTATCCCTCTAACTCCTCCAGGGAAATTATAAATAAAAACAAGCTTCATTCCCAGTGAAGATAAAACAAAAATGTGCCCTTCAGATCTTATCATTTTGTGACTATATGAATTGGAATGGAAACACTGTTGCCTTTTGGGATGTTGGCCTGGGCTGTTTTTCAACCTTTTAAAGAATAGAACTCTAATTTTGGTGCCAATACTCAAAGTTTTCTTGGGTGGATAAACACAGCTGATAGGTTGACTTGTGATGGAAATTATAATATCTCAAAATCTCCAGGAGAACCAAAGTCAGTCTTCACTTTGACCCTTACTAGTTCTGTGAACATGGGATATGTAATGAGTTTGACACATACCAGGTGCTCATGAACACGTCACTGCTGATTATATTTCCTTTTAGCTTTCTGAAGGTCAGTTTCTCAGTTTCCTCATGTATAAATGTATTATTCAGTTTCCCATCTCTGTGACAAAATACCTGAGATAATCAACTTAAAAAGAGGAAAGGGTTTTTGTAAATTCATAGTTCCAGAGATTTCAGTCCATGGTTGTTTCATCCAGTTGCTTTGGTCTGTGGTAGCACAGAACCTTATGTCAGGAAGGAGGCCTGTTCCCTTCATGATACCTGGGAACTAGAGAGAGACAGGAAGGAGCCAGGTTTTCAATATTCTCTTCAAGGGCACAACCCTAATGACCAATGATGTAACTTGATATAACTAAACTCTACCATTTAAAGGCTCCACTACCTCCTAATAGTACCACCCATTTACCTAATAATTATAGGATATTTTATGAGGATTAAATGAGTTAATGTACATAAAAGTATTTTTTGCACAGCAAATGAAAATTTTAAGAATATTATTAATGTGAATATTTTCTTCTGATTTTAAGATATGATCATGAAAGGGGTGATTGTTGGATAGGAGAAAATAACTACATAACAATTAAATTTAGGGCCTGAATTGGTTCACCAAGGCAATCATCCAAAATGACACTGGGTGTACACTGCAGAATGCCACCTGGTGTCCCCTGGAACTGTGAAATGCATGTTAGGGACAAATTCTGGGCTGCCAAAATTTGGTTGGTGGCTGATCTAGAATTGAATTAGAAGGAGGAAAAGCAAGTAAGTCAAACAATAAGTCTAAGCTATGTCTCTCTATCAGTCTCTCTCTCTGAATTATTTATGTCAACTATACATCAGAGAGACAGGTAATGGAGTGATTTGGAGGCAATCTTTATCCATCCTACTACCTTGACAAAGCAATGTGATTTTCCCTGCCCTTCACAGAGCCCCTTTGTGGCCTCTAAGCTTCTCTGCACTCTTCCTGAGAACATGGTGACCAGATGGTCCAGATCTCTTGAGAATCAATTTCAACTATTCCACCCAGTTTTATTCCTCATACCATAGTCAACGTCCATTTCCCCCTACATCCTATTACATGAAAATTCATAGTTGATGGTTTCATGCCCACAGGATTATTCATGATGGTTAACTGACATCTGGAATCTGCCCTGCTAATGATTCTCTCTTTCCTTTCATCCTGCATACTCCTGCCAGATTTTTCATCTAAAAAAAAATGCTACTTTCATCATGTCATCCCACATGTTAAGCATTTACTACTGACATCCAATACATAGTCCAAACTCCACAGCGTTAAGATGGACTTTCCCTTCCCACATTCCCAATGCCAAATTGTTACCATGACAGGCTGGCTGGAGCTTGGAGTTCTTTTATCATCCATCACTCCCCTTCTCTACATCCAGCTGAATTCGCCAGCTATCGAATTCAAGAATAAATGGAGCCTCTTCTCCCTCTCACTGTTTCCTTTCTAGTGATGTGCTTCCTTCCTTTCCTAACCATCATGTCGGTCACACGACCATACAAGTGAACTCTCAACAGACATACACCACACACTTCAAGTGCAGTGGTGACAGTCAAAATATGCACAACTGGTCAACAAGGATGTTGAACCATCAGAATGGCTCTAGCCAGAGTTCTGTAGCAGTGTCCCAGGGAATCCAGATTTTAATTCTTCAGTTGTTGGATCCTAGGAAAATTGAGAGGAAAAGAGTTGGGAATTTCTGATGGAGGGACATAGAGAGCCAGGACAATGGTGGCACTGGGGTGGCAGTGGGAAAGAAAAGTGCTGCTACTTACAAAAATATTTCCTTGTTTAACAACTGGTATGAACATCCAGAACATACCTGCTGAACAACAATATCAGCCTTGTCTGATGAATCTCCAGGCTCAACTGAAGCTCCTTTTCCAACAATTCAGGGGCCACTAGTGATCCATCCCTCAATAAATTATTTTAGCATATTATATCCATGCCATTTACTAGCATATCTCCATCTTTATATTGGGGAACTAATACACAATTCATCCTTCCAAGATGATAATCTTTTCCAAAATAAGAATTATACTGTATATTTGTTTCTCCCAAAAATGTAAATGATAGTTAATTTTATGTACCAATTTGACTGAGCTAAGGGATGCCTAGTTAGTTGATAAAACATTATTTCTGAGTATATCTGTGAAATATGTCAGACAGAGTTCAGCATTTGAATCAATAGACTGAGCAAAGCATATCTGCTCTCTCCAGTATGGATGGGCATC